CAAATGCAAGGTCTAAAGATCTTTATAAAAGTTTCCATCATTCGAAAACGGTTCTTCTGTGACCAATATGAAAGGCCTTGTTGAGGTTTTTATCTAATTTTTATCGATGAACATTTAATATTATTATTTACCATATAATTTATAGATGATCTTTTATCAAACTTTTTTATATTGATCTAAAACGTTATCACTTTTAATACTTGTGAGTACTAAGATCCAAGTAATGTTATTTGTGGCCACAATCAAAAAGTTTAGTGGCACACTTCAAAAAGGAAAAAAAATGCCTACCCACTTTCATACAGTTAAACCTCGATAAAGTAATGTTCGATAAAGTAATAACCTCGATTATATAATAAATTCTTTCGATCCCGACTTGGGCCAATGGACTAAAATAATAACCTCGCTAAATGCATTAAGTAATAAAAAAAATTGAATCCTTAAGGGTCCAATAAAAATATAAAGTAATAATTACTGAATTTCATTGAGAAAAAAAAAAATATATATATATAGACCAAAATCTTTCAATCAATCAACAATATGATGACGAGTGGAATTACTTCTATAAAGTGTTTTATGCAACATGATATGAAAGAATAATTTTTTGTGTAATGAAAATAAAAGTTCAAATGGTCTTTTATATATAGAAGTTGAAGGGTGGTAGGCGAAGGGACACACCCAAATTTTAATTTCCTTCAAATAGGACCGAATTTCTCATTCATATGCACATTGGTCCTCAACCAATTTCCAACAGAAATATTAAGGTCTAAACCCACGTCATATATCATACTAATTTTATAGGATTGATTAAAGGAGGATAAGCAATTAATCCTGGTATTAATTGCACCAAACAGCAGACAGAATTAAATTAATCTTTATCCGGTTTAATATGGCGCGACAAACACGTCCTTACAAGAATATATAAAAAGTTGAACCAATTTAAACTGAACTAGATATGACACATCATGCTTGATTATTCATAACTGTGAGCTTCAAGTATTAATTTTCTACATTTTCACATATAAGTTATATTCACTAAGGATGGGACAGAAAAAAGTGCTTATTTTTCTGGGCATTAAATTCCAGATGGAAACCTTAGTTGAAGCTAACAAATTCTTTATAACAACTTCTGCATATTGTTCAGAATTTAAAATTTGCTTGGAGGAAGAAAAGGATTCCACTTTTCTCATTTTCTTCGAAAAATTAGGACAGCCTCAGTTGATACTTGATACAACAGGTAGAATAACATTCTTTCATGTTTATGAATGGCAAAGCAACAAAGTTCATCTGAAGTCCCAAAATTCTGTTCCACCGGATTCGAATCACTCTACGAACTTTTATTCAACACGTCAAGTATTTTATGGCATATTTAGCACAATAAAGTGGATACAATTGAAGAACATGTAACAACATGCCTTGGTCGCATTGTCGTCCCATCGTACTTGTGTTTTTATTTAGCTTCTGACGACCTGCCTCAAAGTGGTTTGATGAGTACAAAATTTAGTGCAATTTTAGTTTATTGTGAACACATTTCAACAGTATCGAGATTACAAGTCTAAGTTTCATATTTATAAAGTAATTAACGAAAGATAGAATTTTACTTAAAAAATTCTACGACATTTTTTCCCATTTACACGATGCTGTAGGTAGATAATACCACACGGGTATGGTTGTTACTAAGAAAAAGTAAGTTAATCCGACCTGCCGGATTCGAACCAGCGACCTAAGGATTACCATGATGACACTACAGTCCTCCGCTCTACCAACTGAGCTAAGGTCGGTTTGTTTCATCTGTTTTAGATAAAAGTATTCTTACAACTTAAACACCAAAGAAAAACATCTATAAATTTAAAAAGTTAAAATTTTAAAATACTCCAACGAGTCCTTTATATTTAACACTTAATTTTACTACTCCCAAAAAATATTTATTATATTTCTCTATCTTTTAGAGCATTATTCTAAGGGTTAACTCTTTAAAATAGAGCATTTCATGTTTACAATTGTTTTTGGAGATACTCTAATACAGTAATATATGATGCTCTTTGTAGGCCAATGGCATATTGACAAATGTCATTCTTGTTACGTCAAATGCAAGGTCTAAAGATCTTTATAAAAGTTTCCATCATTCGAAAACGGTTCTTCTGTGACCAATATGAAAGGCCTTGTTGAGGTTTTTAACTAATTTTTATCGATGAACATTTAATATTATTATTTACCATATAATTTATAGATGATCTTTTATCAAACTTTTTTATATTGATCTAAAACGTTATCACTTTTAATACTTGTGAGTACTAAGATCCAAGTAATGTTATTTGTGGCCACAATCAAAAAGTTTAGTGGCACACTTCAAAAAGGAAAAAAAATGCCTACCCACTTTCATACAGTTAAACCTCGATAAAGTAATGTTCGATAAAGTAATAACCTCGATTATATAATAATTTCTTTTGATCCCGACTTGGGCCAATGGACTAAAATAATAACCTCGCTAAATGCATTAAGTAATAAAAAAAATTGAATCCTTAAGGGTCTAATAAAAATATAAAGTAATAATTACTGAATTTCATTGAGAAAAAAAAAAAATATATATATATATAGACCAAAATCTTTCAATCAATCAACAATACCCGTACAATAATCATTCCTTTTGAAAATATGCATCTATAGTTGATTATTTTTTCTTCCCACCTAAACCAAAATGAATCTCATCCTTAACTTTTTGTAGAGCATACACAACTTTCAGAATATTTTGCTCGTGTTATAACAAGTAGTTGTTTAAGGTGACTATTGCTTGAAATGCCTCTTTTGACAACACATTTGGACAACGCTACAATCATCTGGTTCAGGATCATTCTCATCATCATTACTGTTCATTACCGATTGAATAATTTTTTCGTCTGTAGGTGATTCCATAACTGCATCATTCTCGCTAGGATAGTTCAAAAGATATTCAACATCCATCACATTTCTATAGTGTAAATTAGAGATGACATCTTTTAATCCTTGGATACCTTCATCTAATTCACCAACTTCTAGTTCGGGAACATTGTTTTCTTCTGACCGAATCTTGCAATGCCGAAAACAATTTGCAATTGTTGTTGTCTTCATATCAAAATTCCAAGCATGTTAGCAAAATTAATAGCATTCAAAATATTAATTTTTTCAGGATTTGGTGCTTCAACCTCAAGGTCTTGTAAGATGCTAGAATAAAAACAATGACGATAATGAGCTTTGAATGCTCGAATAATCCCAGCATCACATGGTTGAATCTTAGACGTTGTGTTAGGAGGTAAGAAAAATAACTCTACATTTTTCAAGCCTTCAACTACCTTTGGATGAGTTGGGCAATTGTCTACTATTAAGAGAACCTTCCTGCCATTCATTCTCTTATCAAACCAACCAACAAAATCTTGAACAAACAAGCCAGTCATCCAAGCTTTCTTGTTGGATCGATACTTGCAATTAAGATTGTTCATGTTCACATTTTTAAAGCATCTAGGATTTGCATACTTACCAATAACCCAAAGTGGTACTTTGTCAGATCCATCACCATTGCAACAAACAACAACAGTAATTCTCTCCTTATCTTTTTTGCGTCCTTCGAGCTGCTTGGTAACAAGTGAATGATCAGCTTCCAATCGGTAAAATAATCTAGTTTCATCCATATTGTAAATATCCTTTAACTGAAACTGATCTAGTTTTGATCGTATTCCAGGTAAAGTATTTTCAATGTTCTCCATGATAACTGAACCACTTTCACCAAAACGTCGGTAAGATTTGATTCCATATCTTGCCTTGAAACGTTCTAACCATCCACTAGAAAAGTTGAATTCTGGATTAGTTTCACCATACATTTTTTGCAAAAGCTCTTTTGCTTTTCCTTGGATAATTTCTCCAGACATGTTCACTTTATCTTGCCTTTGAAAAACCATTCATACAAAACTTTCTCTAAATCAGGGTATTTTGCCGATTTGTGCCTTTTAACATCGCTATTTTTCATCTCATTTGACAAATATTCCGATGCCTTTTTGAGAGTGTTCAATATTGTTGATTGACTAATAGTCAAATCAAACTTTTGTTGCACCCATGCTTGCATATCTTTTTGGCTAATAATTGGATTCTCTTTTTTATGCTCACATATTACACTCCTCATTTTATCGGTTAAAGTTGATTTTTTTACTCCTTTCAAATAATGATAAGACATTGGAGGGGAAACAAAATATTATATGTGCTTGGAATATGTCTTCCAAATATCTAACTTTTATAGGTAAAGACTAAACCTTTTCATTTACTATGTACGTGAACTTAGTTTTTAAAGACATTAAGTTTCACCAAAACTTTTGAGCTTCCCTAAATTCAAATAATACTTTGATTAATGTCTTTTGATTTTTCTTACCACATACAATGTACATATTTCATATTGAAAAGCTCTCTCTAAAATAATAAATATTTATTTATCAATAAATGAATAATTTATTCATTTATCGATAAATAAATAACCTCGCTAAATGAATATTTTTTTTCGGTTCCGAGGGTATTACTTTATCGAGGTTTAACTGTAATAAAAGCTTAAAACCAGTTATTCATAAATTTTTGGAAGTATAATATAAAATTGTAAAATTCAAATATAAATACTTTTTAAGTGTACCATAAAACGTATTCAGCACGTATACAAAACTAGTATGTACATATAATCTACCAAAAATGCATTTGTGTTTCTTTGAAAACATGACTACCTAAGTCTCATATTCTTAATTTTGCTGTCAAGTGACACCTTCTCAACTTGTTAGCGTCTATGTTCACTTCTCATTTTCGGATGACACGTTAAATACTTGGCAAGAAAAGCAAATAGAATTGAATGTGAAAGAGAGAAGATGAGAGCTTGTGGGCCACATGCACCCATAGTCTTTAGGCAATTGCATGTGCCCACATGGCGCTGCTGACTGCTCAATAGTAATACCCCAACCCCACCCACCCCTTCTCTCTTATTTGCACAATTCTATTTGGTTTGATTTCATTTTCAAGTAAAACCAAGACAAAAACAAGATCTACTGTCTACATATATGGTGCAGAAAAGAAAGATACACACTTGAAAAGAAGAGAGAAATGGAGAAGAGCGGTGATGGATTTGTGAGAGCTGATCAGATAGATTTGAAGAGTCTGGATGAATTGGAGAGACATCTCAACAGGGCATGGACTATGGAGAAGAACAAGAAAACCACTCAAGAAAACAACACCACCGTCGCCACCACTGCAGCCACCAGAAAGAAAAGGTTCGACTGGGAAATTGAACCCTCCAAGCTGATCATCAAGGGTGTCATTGCTCGTGGCACTTTTGGGACAGTACACCGTGGCATTTACGACGGCCAGGATGTTGCTGGTGAGTTCCCTCCTCGCCGCTCCACCATTAAAGACTTGATATGCACTACTTGACAAGGCTATTTAAGTATAATGAACAAGATTTTGTAGTTAAATATATACTATCCCGTACTATCTAATCATTTTTGTCATTTCCTGGTTAGTTGCTTCATTTTCAAAGCTCACTTGTCCTATACTTGCCCTCTGTTTTTTCCTTTTTTCTAATCCCTTTACTTCATATCTTGTAAAAAGTCACATAAAATTATAGCCCAAATTATTTGTGGGTACCTAAACATAATCATAGAGATTAGAGCCTATAATTTAGGCAGTTCAACAGTCTTCTGGTTGCCCTTTCTGGAAGTCAGCTCTGATCAAATTTACAGGGCTCTCTCTAGGGAGGTGGCAACCTGAAGATATGCACCCCTTTGGTTTCTCCTGCATGTAAAATCTTCGTAAAAACTTTTCCGACGTTCGTCTTTTTCCTTTTCCGGGTGCTATAAACGTAGGGGTAGGGGTGAGGGTGGGGAAGAGTGGGGGCGTGCTTACTGGTCTGGTCTATTGATTTGTAGTGTTATGGAATCCGTGACTTGTGGCACGGGATTGGATTGGATTGGATTGGGAGAAGACTGCATTAATTTGGGATGAACTTTCACGTGATTCAACAAGTTGTTCAATTTTCACTCATTAAACAAAGGAAAAAGAAAGAAGAAACAGTTTTGTCGTGACAGAAGAAAATTGAATTCTGCTAACACTTGATATTATAATTATTCGAGAACTTTCAGTTGCTCAGGATCTAACGCTAGATCTCAACAATGAACCCAATATAGTGAAGAAAAAGATTCGAGTAGCTAATGTCAGAAAACTTTGAACTCTCAGTGTGATGCGACTAGGATCAATACGAAGCCAAAGATTCACCAAACATTTTTCATCATTTCATCGACATGCTGTTAAAACAGGAAGCTTGATAGATTAATCTTCTACAGACGGGAACTTAACCGTGTCCTTTAATATAAGACAACTAATCCAACCTTCTATAGTTTAAGAAACTGAAGTGTGGAATAGACATATTGCCCACACTTATAGTCTTTCATCTAAGACCTTAAAGTCCTAGAGCCTCCACGTTTGCCACTTGAGTTAGGCTGCATTGAGAGGGAGAAGCTAAAACAGTAATGAAATCCAGAGAAGTAACAAATTTCTTCATAAAATACAATACCTGAGTCTGTAACTATATTTAACTGGTGGTATTCTGTTGAAGTTGCTAGACTTGAAATTTACAGTTTGATAGCTTCATTGATTCAGTTAAACTGCTGGACTGGGGGGAAGAGGGCCACAGGACAGATGCTGAAGTCGCGTCTCTAAGGGCTGCTTTTACTCAAGAAGTCGCAGTGTGGCATAAACTCGATCATCCTAATGTTACCAAGGTCGTTAACTTATGGTGTTTGGTTTTCTGTCGATCCATCTCTTGTAGAAACTTTCTAATATTAATGTCTGAACGCTGCTTTTGCAGTTTATTGGTGCAACAGTAGGCTCTTCAGACCTTAATCTTCAAACGGAAAATGGTCACATAGGCATGCCTAGTAACATCTGTTGTGTTATTGTGGAATATCTTCCGGGTGGAGCCTTGAAATCTTACCTCATAAAGAACCGTAGAAAGAAGCTAGCATTCAAAGTCGTCGTTCAGATGGCACTTGATCTTGCCAGAGGGTAGTTGCATCTTTGATTTGACCTTTTCTTTTCTAGTTACTATTCATGGAGTTTTACCTCGTTCTGTAGGTTAAGTTACCTTCACTCTGAGAAGATCGTTCACAGAGACGTTAAGACAGAAAATATGCTTTTGGACAAGACACGCACGCTGAAAATTGCAGATTTTGGAGTTGCTCGTGTTGAAGCCTCGAATCCGAATGACATGACAGGGGAGACGGGGACCCTTGGCTACATGGCTCCTGAGGTATGTAAATGTTGTCCATCATCTTGATTAGGATGCTCAAAAATAAGTATTTGAGAGTAAGAATTTCACCAATTATGATACTAACGCAAGTTGCGTGTCTCTAATCATGTGCAGGTTCTTAATGGCAACCCCTATAATAGGAAATGTGACGTTTACAGTTTTGGCATCTGTTTATGGGAGATATACTGCTGCGACATGCCACATCCCGATCTTAGTTTCTCAGAGGTGACTTCGGCTGTTGTTCGCCAGGTAATGTATCATAACCTTTTATGAAGTATTTCTCCACAACATCTTCCATAAGAAGAAAAATTAAATGAATTACAACTCTATTGTACACTTTGATGGACAACCTCACCTAAAAACTTAAGGCATTACAGGGTAGACACATTTAGTTATTTAAATTTAGTTCTCAAGTTTAACTATCTCGTCTAAAAGCTTTAACTTGATGTTCCTAATACAGAATTTGAGGCCAGACATACCAAGATGTTGCCCGAATTCCTTCGCAAATGTGATGAAGCGATGTTGGGATGCCAACCCCGATAAGAGACCGGAAATGGATGAGGTTGTTTCCTTGTTAGAGGCCATTGACACATCAAAAGGAGGAGGAATGATCCCAGTTGATCAGCAACAGGGATGTTTTTGTTTCCGGAAATCTCGTGGTCCTTGAAATAACTTGATCTTGTTCACACCTAGGTTTCTTTTTTCCTAGATTCTAAACAAAATCTTATATATGGAAAGAGAAAACTGGAGTATTTAAACCAGAAAAAGGATTCAGGCTGACAAGATGTGCCTTTTGATCTATTTCATTCACCTTATGCTCTTGTTTGTTCTCATTCTTTTGAGATTTTTCGATAAACATGGATCAGTTACAAACTTAATAATAACCATATTAGGCTATTAATCATCTCTAAATACTTGAGCTCTCAAGGCTGGCTTAACAAATTCATTTAAATCTTACCCCCAGCCAGACCTTGCGGAGGAACCCTTTGGTTTTTGGGGCATCAGCCTCATGCATTTGCTAAACTTTTTTTAGTTAATCAAGCACTTCCTGAAACATACTCAAGATTGGCTTAAAATCAAGTTCTAAACAAACCACTAATCCACCAGTTCTATAATTAATTTTCTAACCAGATCACAAATTTCTGAGCATCTTGGACATGCGACAAGTACAATTGGTCAAATTTTAGTATACACACGTGCCTGATTATAAGAATTGAATATAGGAATATGAAAACATAGGAATAACTAGACAAAGTCATAATGGGCAAATTTCAAAATGAAGTTCAGTAGCTGGAATTAAGGATGCAATGGAAAGCCATATGATAAAAACACTCCCAAGTTTTGATTGAAAATCTACTTAGCATCTATCCTCTTACAACAACTGTGTCATGTGGACATGGCTTCAGTCTTCTCGGTGTTGTTCTCCCCTAAGCTGCAGGGAGAAATCATCATTGACATCGTCATCATCCCAGTCATCTTCCCATTGCTGAGTCACTTTCTTGCCTTCTTCTTTGTCATCCCAATCTACCAATTTCACATGAATAATTAACAAAACAATCAGAGAAATGCAAGAAAGATGCTTTACTGTTGAAAAGCTCTAGCTTGTATTGAAACTTAAAATATCGAATCAATCATTCCAAGATTTCAAAATGTAAAAGAAAAAAACAATAATTAACTTTCAGAGGAGTTAAATCATTAGATTCCAGACACAACAGTTTTGATGCACAAGCTAGTATTGGAGAACTCATGGCACAAGAGGATCTTCTTTGAACTGCAATCAGTGGCCAGCAAGGAATTACTGATACGGAGGGCAAAAAATTTTAAAAATTTAATGTACGAATAAAATTTATATGTAATAAGAAAAATTCATAATATAAGTAACCTATTGAAGTTGTACTGACAACCATTTTATAAATGATTTATAAATTCAGTGAAAATCAAACATTAATTTTAACAACAGATTTATAACTACTATTCATTTATTATCTACGTATTTTGTGGGACTAACCATTATTCCTCTTTATAAGTTGATTAATAAAGTTTCCAAACGGAGGCTTAGTGGACTTTAAAATTTGAGGGTGTCTATTAATTGGGTATACTGATAAATCTAGGCCGAAATTGCACAAACTGGGACAAGGGACAGTAAATTAAAGATTCTTGTTGGAGATGATGGCTGGGTTGACCACCGTGAAAATGGGATCCTCTATTCTTTTGATGCCACGAAGTGCATGTTCTCTTGGGGTAATCTTTCGGAGAAACTACGGATGGGCTCTCTTGACTGTAGAAATGATGTTATCGTAGATCTGTTCTCTGGCATAGGATATTTTACACTGCCTTTCCTTGTGAGGTATGTTTTTCATTTTTATAACTCATGCTGATACTTGAGCCTTTTTCTTTGGCGATAATTTTTGTGTTGATACTGGTGATTATCAGGGCCAATGCCAAATTTGTGTATGCTTGTGAGTGGAATCCAGATGCTGTTGAGGCTCTACGTCGTAATCTACAAGCTAATTCTGTGGCTGATCGTTGCACCATACTGGAAGGAGATAATAGAGTTACAGCTCCAAAGGTATGTTAGTTTGTCTTTACGAAGTTACCAATTTGCTGTCTTGACCTTATTATATCCATAATTTATTAAGAGGGTGTTTGAACCACATTATTTGGGTAATAATGCATTCTTGAATAGTGTATTGATGGGAAATGTGTGGTTAAAAAATAAAGAAAAGTTTTTGGTATGCGTGTAATATTATTTTATTGAAAAATGTGTGGTTGAAATGATATCAAATCACTATTTAAGAATGTAATTTTTTGGAATAATGTGGCTCAAACAGGGCCTAAATATCACATTAAGTGAGAATAATTTTTTGGACGATATTAACCCTACTATAATTCAATTATTTCAATCATACCTTACTTTTCGTTTTTAAATAAGTAATAAATATTGCAAAATCCTTGTCATGTGTGAATTTCATGTTATTAATTCTCAATTAATTTATATTCTAGACTCTGTGAATCTTGACTTCTACATGAATTTAGAGTTTTTAATTTATTATAGATGAGTTTATTTATATTCATGTATCAACGAATTTCAATAGGTGTTTAAATTCATGTATTAACAATTAATTCTTATATACTAAATGTAGTATAAAAATGTTGTTCATTTGTAGTATTTCATCATAAAAAAAAACTTTGAATCATAGAGGTTGATTTTCAAGAGTGTATTTTTTTCCCTCTTAAATTTTATTTTTTTAGATTGTTTGAGACTCATCATATCCTCTCAACAAATTGGTATTAAAATATTACTTTTCCAGCGCTTATAAAGTATTTCAGAATAATGTGCAATGCACGTTCAACTATGACTGGTATTTTCATTTCAACAGGGAGTTGCCAATCGAGTCTGCCTTGGTCTCTTGCCAACAAGTGAAGGAAGTTGGGTTACTGCAGTCAGGGCACTAAGGTGTGTTATTGTCGTTCATATGTCTTAGAAGCATGTTAGGCTAAATCATTTTTTCTTACTTTAAAGTACAAAAAGGTCTCATTTTGAAAGTAACTCTTAGTGCTTGCTTGGCTAAACTTTGAATATCTTTGCCAAACATGCTCTACTGTGATTGAATTAAGTTGTTTGTGCTCTCATTTTGCAAGTTTTTGAATCTTTCCTGCCAAAAATTGCAGACAGGAGGGTGGAATGTTACACATACATGGTAATGTTAAGGACTCAGAGGAAGGTTCATGGAAGAACCATGTTTTGCAATCCATTACCGGCATTGCTAGATCAGAAGGTACAACGTCATTACCTATTTACTTAAACTCTCTCGTTCTACTAACATCCATGCAAAACAATCTTGAAAAATGAAACCGAGTGGAATATATGGCTACTTGCTGCAGGTTATCACTGGGAGGTCTTAATAGAACACGTTGAAAGAGTGAAATGGTATGCTCCCCACATACGCCATCTTGTTGTAGATGTGAGATGCCAACAAACTCAGGGTTAAGATTTGGAATGGAACGTGTCAGGTATGCATTACAGGGCAATACTAGAGAGTGGAGAGTACATGCACGAAAATTTTCACTTTTTTCTTCTTTGATATCGTTCTACCTCATGGATGCCATGCAGGCTTGAATTATATGAGAAAAGCATGGTTCTTCCCTCAGACAAGCCTTGAAATTCTCATACAGCATGTGAAATCCTGCTGCCACTTGCACTGTTATGGCAAATTAGTGGGTTCGAAACAGATGACCCCATTAAAGACGACTAGGCAGTATCACAAATTTTAGTAGAAATTAGTGAATCAGTGCTTAAAAGTTTTCTTGTGGAGAGTTAAAAGTGATGATTATCTTGGTTACTATAATGAATATTTGTCTAGTGATTTATTGAGTGGATATTTTCTAATTTGGTCTGGGAGCTGTTGCATCACCTTGCTGAATAAAATACCTGGTGACTCGACCACGTCGGAGTGTAAGGTCGGGTTGTGCTGCAGTTCAAGTCGAACACTTGCCGGGCCTGATTCTGACCGCTCCCAGCCGACATGGGTGGGCCTGGCACTACCCATGTTTGCGATCGGAGGTGGCTACATAATTTTTCGACATTCATGCAGTGAACTAGTTTGAGGTTTGACGTTTGAAAGGCTACGGCTGGTGCTGGCATCAAAGAAATAATTTTCTTTTGCAGTTAATGGCTAATTTAATTCGACAATGCCTGAGCAATTCAGAAAATCACTTATCCCAAATTGTGTGGATCCCCAGGCATATTGATGGGTTTCACCTAAAAATTAATATTATATGGTATTTTTAACAATTTGGGAATTAAATATAAAGAAATGGTCAGGGATTGAATGAAGTTGACGTGTGATACTGATATGGCTCCCAACAAAACTGTCGGTGGTCACTGAGAATCCATTTATTTGAAGTTTGAATCAAAGGTTCCTTATCCAGTCCTTGACAACTTTAGTGACATGTTTGTTTCGATTCAAATTATAATTGATAAAATTTTGATGAATACAAACTACAGTTTTAGGTGGCAGAGAGCCTGACATAGAGGCGCCAAATCCCAGTTGCTGTGAGCTTTTATAGAAAACCAACATGTTAACCCCTCCATCCTACCTTCTCTATGTTATTGACAGTTCATCTTTGTTTCCAGTGGCATGTTTAAATCTTCATTCCATTACTTAAACATATAATAAATTATTTGTTTTTTTTTATCGGTAAATGTGAAATATATTGATCAAAACTTAATTACAAATACACCGGGCATTCCCAGGCCATCATATGAAAGTAATTATACAACTACACCGTGCGAACTCGGGTAGAATAACACATCATGTACGACTTAGAGACCTACAGCTAAGGACTCATATTGAAACAAAACATTCGGATACAAAGAGAACAAAACGTTGTATACGTGTGTTTTGATTCGTCTCGAACAATACTATCAACATGTGGAATAAGGTCTTCAAAAATCATCTTATTCCTTGCCATCCAAATGTGGTAAACAGTACTAACAAGTGCAATACGCTTCGCCTTGCTATGCCAAGATGTACCCCAACTTTCCTTTTTTATCCATTTCATTGCGATGTGAAGTGTTGACATAGCTCGCCTGAGACCCACCCACGCACGTATTCTTTCCCAGACTGATCGAGTAAAGGAGCAACTGAAAAACAAGTGCTCCGTAGACTCATCCATGTGTGCACATAAACAGCATTTAGGGTCAATCTCTAAGAAATGCAATCTGTCCCTAGTTAACAATTTCATTTTTAACTGCCAACCATGTCATAAAGGCATGCTTCGGAGTGACATATGCATTCCAAACAAGGCTAGCCCAGCTTACTTTAACTCCCCTTGGCCTAAAGAACTCATACGCATCTTCTATGCTAAATCTGCCAACATTACTCCACTTGGCCAGTTTATAAATAGCTGCCTGGGAAGAATTTTCAGCCCCAATAATGTAATCTCTGATTTGCACCAGCTTTTTAATAAGAGGGGAGTCCTCTTTTCTCAGCATATATACCCAAATGTTACTCCCACGTAGGTATACTTGGTTTACCCATTTAATCCACAAAGAATCTTTCTTACAATGAATGTTCCAAAGTGTTTTGGAAAGAAGTGCTAAGTTCCATCTTTTGATGTCTCGGAGCCCAAGTCCACCCTCAACCTTAGGTAAGCAAATATTGCTCCATGCAACCAATGGTTTCTTTGATCCCCAAAGAAAGTTACGACAAAGAGATATGACTCTAGAAGTAACCATAGCCGAAATGGGAAAAATAGATAACCAAAAACATTCAACCCCTTGGAGTACGGCTCTCACAAGCTCTAGTCTTCCCGCATATGATAATGATGCCCTAGACCAAGCCCCAATATAGGCTATGATCTTGTTAATAAATACATCATAAGAACTGGTTTTCAGCTTTCCCATCGCAAGAGGAACCCCCAAGTAGCGAAAAGGCAAAGATCCTTGGGAGATATTTGCAATCTCAATAATATAATCCCTTTCTTGCCCTTGAACTCCCGCCATATACAAGTTAGACTTGTCAACATTCATCGTTAGTCCCGACATGTCACCAAAATTTGCTAAGCAATTTATCAAGATCCAAACCGAAGTAGTATCACCTCTAGCAAACAGCATCAAATCATCCGCAAAGGCCAAGTGTGTAATCTTTAGAGGAGCACATTTAGGATGGTAATTGAACTCAGTATTATTGGTGGCTCCCTTCACCATTCTAGAAAAGTACTCAAGGCACAAAACAAATAAAAATGGAGAAAGAGGGTCACCTTGACGAAGACCTTTCCTCCCATTTATGAACCCGTGAAGGCACCCATTAAGAGCAATAGAGTATGTAGGCGTAGTAATGCATTCCATAACCCAATCTATGAATTTAGTAGGGAACTTCAAACCCTCAAGAACATTCTTAAGAAAATCCCAATTCACTGAGTCATACGCCTTCTTCAAATCAGTTTTGAGTAGGCATCTTGGTGATACCCTCTTTCGATTATATTTCCTCACAAGCTCTTGAACAAGATGAATATTCTCTACCATGCTTCTACCTTCTATAAAGGCAGCTTGGGCTTGATCAATGATGGACCCAAGTGTTGGCCCCAATCGAGAAGCCAGTATCTTAGTGATCACTTTGTAGAAAATATTACAACAAGCGATCGGCCGATAGTCATTCACCGAAGTAGCATGGTTAGTCTTAGGAATCAAGGTAATAATGGTATGGTTCGTTTGCTTAAGGAGAGATCTAGAAGCAAAAAATTCATGAATTGCTTCCATAAAATCATTACCAACAATATCCCATGCCTCCTTGAAGAATCAAGATGTATAACCATCCGGTCCGGGCGATTTATCATCTCCAATGCTAAAAAGGGCATCCTTAATTTCTTGTTCAGAAACATCCCCAGTAAGTGAAGTGGCGTGCTCCTCATCTAAAGTAGGACCAAACCGAAGATTTTCAGCCGAAAAAACTAGTCCATTACTGTCCCGTCCAAACAATTCACTGTAGAGATGAACAAACTCATCAGCCACCTGTTTTTGCGAAGAGGTATAGGAACCATCCCTTTTAAGTACAGCTGCAATAAAGTTCCTTTTAGTGTTTCTCTTCACAATCGAGTGGAAAAACTTTGTGCATTTATCACTATTCTTCAAATATGCACACTTCGCTTGTTGGAAGTAGAAACGCTTCACTAAGATTTATGGCCTCTTTCCTCAATCGAGCAACCTCATTTTGTAGATGTAAATTGGTGGGATTATCATGCAGGACAAGCTGGGATTCCACAAGGCCTTTTTTGCTACCTCGGCCCTTGATGAAATATGACCAAAGTGTTTAACATTTAACTCTTTAAGCACTCCTTTGAGACGTTGCAACTTCTTGCAAAGAGAGAATTGCTTAGTGCCCCGAATATATAGATTCCAAGTGCTTAGCACGGTCTCATGGAACTTCTTGTGCTTAGTCCACATATTGAAGAATTTGAACGGTTTCTTCTTGACCTCATCACATGTAAAAATAGAAACAATACAAGGTGAGTGATCAGATAGGCATCCTGATGGTAAGAATTCCGCACTACTAGAAAAACCCATATGCATCCAAAAATCATTTACCATTGCTCTATCCAGTTTAGTCCAAACAGAATTGTTGTTCCAAGTGTAAAAACAACCAATAGATCTCAAGTCCGTTAGACCAACATTAAGACAACAATTAACAAAATCTTTTATCTCATATGTGGTAACATCAGCACCATTAATTTTTTCATCAAAATGCAATACATTATTGAAATCACCCATAATCAACCAAGGTAATGAACAATCCAAACCAAACTGCATGATATTATCCCATAATGGTCTACGACTAACAGTTGTATGGAGGCCATAGACAAAGCTAACAAAAAATTTTAAAGATGTTACCTTGCAAGTAACGATGCAATGGATAACTTGCGAAGTAGTCTCCAATACCTCCAAGTTCAATTTCAAGGAGTTCCATAGCACCAAAATACGTCCAGCTCTATGAACTTCAAAATTATTGATTTGCAATAGGTTGCCAAACTTATTCCGCATGATCCGATCAATCGTCATCCCCAACTTAGTTTCCAAAATACCCAAGACATCAATGTTGTGTTGCCCAATAAAAGTTCGAACACCATTTTGTTTGAGGGGAGTGTTCAGACCCCTAATATTCCACGTGCCTAACTTCATGATGATGAAGGAAGGGAATCGCCCTTCTTCATAACCTTAGTTTTAGGTACTTTCCTTTGCTCATCCACTTTATCTTTGGGCTTCTTATTGTTTCCAGTTTCCAGGCGGCCATTTTTATTATCATCAGGCTTAGAAATCACACCCTGCCCATCAATTTTACCATCTAAGTTTGACATGTGAATGTCATCATTGGCTGATGAACTACAAGCATTCCGTTTGAGAGATGCTTGGCTAGATTTCGCTACTTTCTTTTTACCAACGACCTGTATGAACGGCTAATCACATTGATTGACTTGTTGTCCATTTGCTGACCCCTGCACATTAGAACCAGCTTGTGCATTCGAGACAACCGGGTTTGAACTATTCTCATCGATCTGTCCAGTTTTTCCCACCTGATTTTGGTTCATTTTCGGATGCAATTGTGAATTCTTTATACTAGCCTTCTTATTGACATTGCAAGCTGTAGTAAGGTGCCCAAACATCTTGCAATTTCCACAGAATTTAGGCTCATGTTCGAACTCCACCGGTTGCACTCTAAATTTGCCTGTAGGTAGATTCATAGCAACTGACCGAACCAGCTTTTTAGACGTATCAATCTCCACTAGCACACGTGCATACAATAATCTGCCCTTAGTAGCAGTGAGTTTGTCTGTCGAAATTGGTTTCCCAATCTTGGAAACAATTTTAGTCAAAGCTCTAGGATTCCAAAAATCCAATGGAAGTCCCGGTAACTTCACCCAAACCGGCAAGGTGCAGATCTCATGATCATCAAATTCAAAACACTGGGGCATTACCTTAAGCATTAAAGGTCAATTGAACACAAAATATGGCCCACCTTGCAGTACACGAGTCCTAGATGCATCATCATTAAACTTGAAAATCAACCATCCACTTCTATGGACAAAATATTGGAACTCGACCTTCCAAGAGTTGCACATAAGGAGGAGTGCCATCTTCCCTGGAAAACGGCCAGCAAAATAGCCAACAAGACAATAACGCACTGATTGTTCAACATTATCCATGTCAAGAGCATCCAAAGTAATTACATCAGGTTGGTCCTCAATGGAATTAATTTGAAATCCTTCACCAGGATTCCTATTGTCTTTAAATAAATTAACCCAAGGTGCAGCCTTATACTCACCACTGTTACTGCCATTTTTATCCTTAACAACAATAGATTGAGGTTCATCAGCTGAGCTTTCAGAACTCGTGTCCAGCTCCCCAAGAGTCTGTGAAACACTAGGCGAGTCGGTATCCTCACATAGTCCTTCCTTACCAAGTTGTTTATGTACTACAGAAGTTGAGGTCTCCTTAATGGGAGTAATATGCTTCACAGGCCCAACAGGCTTAACTCCAAAATTACGACTTTTTTTTGGCCATAATCCCAAGTGCCCCAAAAGAAGAGACCCGAAAGCAAACCACTCCAAAGCTGGGAATAGACCGAACCCAAAAACAGAGACTACCAAAGCAGCCGGCCAAACTGGAAATCCAGAAAACCCGTTGAACCTGACCAACAACACTGTAACTAAAAGTGTAGACTCAAATTTTAACTCAATAAACTAAGTTAAAAATCAGAACAAGAAAAAGAAACTCAAGAAATCAAGGCACTCAAGTGGGATTCACTCACTAGAGTTGAGAGCATCTCTCTCTAACCTTGATTTTGAGGGAAAGATACATATCTTACTGCAAGGGAAGGGAAATTTGGATGGAGAGGAAGAGGAAAACGGGTTTGAATTGGAAGCTTGCTTTGTTGTCCACATGTAACAATGTCAAACAAGAAGTCCTAATTTTACTAGCACAAGTATAAATTCCCCGGTAGTAGATAAAGCACTATTCAAATAGGTTCCAAGGACAAAGAATACAACAGAGGAAAAAATGCAGCGTCAGAAGACTAAAATTTATCAATAATTAGTCCATGTTCACGGCCTGAAACACGCAATTTTTTATCTAGAAAGATCATACGGCCTTCAGCACAAATGGTGCTTCATCCTCTTACTCTTCCTAATTAGAACAAGTTCCATCAGCATATTCTGTTAAACTAAATTTCTATTGGGGCTTCTACTGCGATTTGCACCATATCTATTGCTGCACATATCAAATATTATAAAGTCACCTTTGTTAGACTACGAAGCCAATCATTGACAAGCAAGATACAATGTCAACAATACATTGCATATCAAAATCCATTGCAAAGCTATACAACTCACATCCCCAGAAAAGGAAAAGAAAAAGAATGGGAATATGTCATAGAATTTTCTAAAGGAAAAATTGCATTACTGGTGTCCCACGTTCAAAAAAAAAAAAGTAAGTTGGTTCTCAATCCTTCAGCATTGTAGAACAATTAGTCCTCAATGATAGAAATGTAGGAGTAAAATGAGTTGAGTTAAGCACCATGCGGCTCATTTTGTTATTTTTTAAAATTAATAAAATAAACCAAAAACGAATCAAAAAAAGAAAGTCGACCCATGAGTTGAAGACGAGTCAGCTCGTGGCTCTCATCTGAATACAAGTCTAGGCAACCCAGGGGCTGAGCCAAGTCAAATCGGTGAGCCGCTCGGTCGGTCTGCCACCACTACAGAAACCATACAATTTTCCTTTAAATCATGGTGTGACCCTCGCATGTCCAACTTCACAAGATTATATGTTGTTTCTCAACTTAAATTGGTGCCTAGAAATTTGAAGTGAAGCATGTTTCCTAAAGCACCAAGTGACTACTGACTACTAAGAAAATTTTAGACATTTTTATCACTGGAGGCTGATTGTGCAACTTGCTCCTTTAGGACATTGGCAACCTTCTACTGAGACAGTAGGCTAAGGACCAATGCATTGATTTTCCTGATTTAAAAATGTGAAAGTAACTGTAAGAACCAACAAAACATTAAAAGGAACAAACCTGCCACGTCCATCATAGACAGAATCATAGCGTCCAAAATGACCTCCACTCCGTATGCTAGGGCTTGAACCCCATAGGCGTTTTACCTTTCCCATTCCATTGCCACATAAAGCCAAATGACGAATTTAAACAGGGACACCTTGATTTGCTCCATTCAAAACTTTGAGAAGATCCAATGCATGTTTTGCATCCTTGTCACAGAAAAATGTAAAAGCCACTCCAGTTGCACCTGCCCATCCCATTCTTGAACATAATCCTCTATTCCAGTGGGAAAGTCAAAGTTTATCACCACCCTGTAACAATAGAAGAGATTACCAGGGAGGTGGAAAAACTAATAACACAGGAAAATCAAAAGCAATATAAATCATATCATGTCACAGATTGCTATAAAATCTACATACAATCTGTTTGACTTTTAGGACATGCTAAGTAGGAAGGGTTGGATGGAACTGGACTATATTGGGGGGGAAATTGCTAAAAAATCATTATATTATTGAGTATCATCCACTATTATGTACCAAACATGGACTTAAGTCATTAATGCAATGTGGCATTATCCAGAATACTCTAAATACGCTTAAGAACAGTGCACATAATCTTGTACCTTCTAAAGTTAATATCCAAACCCAATGAAGCAAAAATATACAATCGTCTAACATACATAGAATAAAAAATAAAAAATAATTATACAACAACAAGAAACATGACTCTTAGATTAAAAAATATTCAACTCCAAAAATCGACAATGAGATTCATAAATCCCAACCCAGAAAATTGTTCCCAGCTATTCAACAATTGAACAAATGAAGCTATCCAAAAATACCATCCCAGAAACAAAACATCCAAAGCTAAGTTCAAACATAAAAAGCTCGTACATATAAAATAAAAAAGGGTCACCATACATCTCCCTTTTCCTTCCAAAGAAAATAATAAAAATACATATATAATATCCCAACACTGAAACAAAAGAACAGCTTACCTAAGAAAGCTTGTACTGATACTTATTATTTCGTTTTGTCGATGATAGAGGAGCTTCTTTTGCAGATTTCCAATTCTTCTTAGAATTTGGTTTGGTTGTCGACACCTACCCAAAAATATTGATCCAAAGAAAAAACATCCAAAGACAAGTTAGAATTTCAAAAAGTCGAGTAGAAGAAATAGAAAAGGTCACTAAAAATCTCTAGTTTCCTTCCAAAAATAAAAAATGCTTAAGATCCTAACACCAAAACAAAGAAAATCTTACCTAAGAAAGCTCGTAATAGTAATTAGTGTCTTGTTCCATCATTGATAGAAGAATTTCTTTTGTTGAAAGATGAGCTTCTTTTGCAGATTTTCACTTCTTCTTGCACTTTGGTTTGGTCGTCGAGGCAGGAATTTGTTATTCTCTGTAAACCATTTAGGATTTTCAATCAAGAGATTTAGAGAGAGAGAGAAGACCGTCTTAGATTTTTTGGAGAGAGAGAGAGGGCCATGACTGTGCCTGTATTGGTGTAGGAGTACACAATCCAGCATGGTACCCCTAGAAAAAATAAATAAATAAAACCCACAACCTCTGTGAGCAGAGTTACTGACTTTAAAATTTCTAAATGACAACTTTTTAAAACTTATTCGAGCAGCCAATGCAAGAAAAAGCATCATCCCACAATGTAGACAATCATTGCTTAGAGATCAAAGCTAGAGTAGTAGGACAAGTCTTCTTTTTGGACGAAAGGCAGACTGGATCACTACCACCAGAAGTCTTGGCCATGAACTTGGATGATTTGAAAAGCCCTTCAGAAAAGTTTGTCCACCAATAACGACAATACAAATATATGCAAATCCATGTGAAGACATCACAGTGTACGACATTTGGCTCCTCCTTGGAGCAAATGTTGCACCTGCTTGCCATAATATGTTGTACGTCATATTTTGAGATAAAGAAGTTGGTTACTGCCTTAACCCCTCAAAATTTTCTAGCTGTTGCATCGTATGCCTCAACATCTTCTTAAGTGCCTAAAATATAATTAAAATGGCTATTAAAAATGGAAACAATTTTTTTTCCTATAGTAAATGATTTATATATTACAGTGACTAAAAACAAGTTTATTCCTAGTAAGTACACAAAAGTTCAGAATGAATTGTTAAGTAATATACAGAAAGAAAATCTTACAAGACTCCTTCACATTTGAAGAAGAAACAAGAAACTCCAAATTCATACAAGAGCACAAAACCCAATGAGATCCAAAATGTAAGACTCTTAACTAACGATTAGAAGAAAAATTCGAATAAATACACACATATATAAATAGAGATAGAAAGAGATATTACAATATCAACAGGGGCTTTCATGTGCTTGACAAAAACAACACTAGTTCCCTTTCGGCTGTTGTTCAACATAAATCAAGAAAGTACGAACACCAATTACAAAAGAACAACGTAAATAATAAACATGATTACGAGTGCTTACGATGAGAAGAATATCATTTAATGCTAAATTATTAAAGAGATTTTTCCGTGTGATTTAAGTCTGTAACTGCTCAATCAAAAGTATAGTTGTAAAATCGATTCTCTACGGCATTAAATAAATTTTCATAATATTCAGTTAATGTTACAAAAGGGCAACTAAAATAAGTGAAAATAATACTTACAAAAAAGTTACAGTTTTACAGACGTATGAAAGATTGTAAACAACATTTTTAATACATGTATTGTGTAAATTTTTTATGCTTGATAGTTTAAGTAAAACTTTTAAAGATTTACTTGTTTTAGCTCTTGACAATGTTACATAAAGTTGACCATGACAGGAAACTGGTTTGAGAAGATATAAAACAACGAAATCAAGTGTTTGACCTTGTGCTTTATTTATCGTCATTACAAAGCATGACCTAATAGGGAATTGAGTTCTTTGGAATAGAATTGAAGTTTGATCACTTTTTAGAGGTACAAAAGGGATTCTTGGTAAAAAAACATATTTTCCACAATACTCACCATTTGTAATTTCAACAAGAATTACATTCTTATCAAATTTTCTACAAGTAAAGCGTGTTCCGTTACATAACCTTTCGGAAGGATTGATATTCCGCAATAACATTACAAAACAGTTTATCTTAAGCTTCAATTCATACGGTGGAATACCATTTGGAGTCAAAGTATTCAAGAAGTTTTCATATAGGCTTTGTTCTAATTTGTCAATTGCTTCATCAAAACTATAATATGTGTAAATTTGACCAGAATTTTGGTCAAGTAAAATTCGATTAATATTATCAACACATTCATTTCTAGGCGTAAGAATTACTCGATTTGCCATGACATGTAAATTATCAACATATGCTTCTATATTTGGAAAAACGTGACTTATTAAAAATTTTAGAGATGTAATTTCGTCTTCAAATGGTACAATTATATTGTGTGGAAGCTGAATGCAATTACAATTGTGTTCTAATTTCATTCCATTTACAATCCTAAGCAAGTAATCACAAAATGTGGGATCAAATTTCGCTCTCATGTTTTCAACCAATGGTAGATGTGAATACAAAGGCCATAGATCAGAGAAAACTAAGCTAGCTCTTATTATGTCTTCTTTTTTTCCTTTCGGTATCAATAGTAAAACTTGTCGAAAATCTCCTCCTAGAACTACCACTTTTCCACCAAAAGGCAAGTTAGAATCAGTTATATCTCTCAGCATTTTATTAACAGCTTCAACAGCACAACGATTCACCATATGTGCTTCATCCCAGAGTATTAAAGTTGACATTTTCAACAAAGTCCCTAGAGCTGATTGCTTACTAACAGAACAACTAATTTCACCAATTATTTCCAAAGGAATTTTAAATCTTGAATGAGCTGTCCGACCTCTAAGTAAAAGAAATGCATATACTCCAGAAGATGTAGTAGCCAAAACAATTAAATTTTGAGATCTCACACAAGCTAGGAGCGCTTTATATAAAAAAAAAAAAAAAAAAAAAAAAAAAAAAAGGGGGGCATTTTTAAAAAAAAAAAAAAAAAAAAAAAAAAAAAAAAAAAGGTTTTACCTACTCCCCCTGTACCATCAATGAAATAAACTCCACTTGATTTGGAATTTACTTTTTTCATAATTGTATCATACGCAAATTGTTGCTCATTATTTAAGCTTGTTGTACAAGCAAAGCCTCCTTCAATATCCAAATTTCCTATATCATCTACCATCATTCTTCTCAACCTTTCATTTTCATCTATATTTACACTGAATGACACTATCTTATAGTCATTTATATTTTTACCCAATGATTCTAAAATTAAACCTATGTCTTTTAAAGCCTGTAGTTCAGTACCTTTCGAAGATATATTGTCATGTATATAATCATCAGTAATATAAACCTTAAATTTATCCCACAAAAGCTTTGGATGATCGGGATTGCAAAGCATAAGAAGCGTAGCAAAAAGACGTCTTAAAGAAGTAGGCATTTCAGAAACAATATCTTCAGATAGACATTCTTCACAATGATTATCTCAACTTAACAACCCATGTAAAAGTTATGCTTCTCGATATGTATTAACAGTTACTCCATTTGAGGTTTGTAAATCATGAAACGATATTGGACCTCGAATATGATTGAGAAGAAAGCGTAGGAAATATTGTTCTCCTTCAGATAGACTCGCTGTGACTATTTGTCTTATAACAGTATGTTTCTTTCTTGGAGTCCAAATCTTCTTAGTTGAATTTCAAACAAAATGTGCTAGAAAATCTCGATACAATAGTGTACAAGCAAATTCATTTGCTTCATTTATTCAAAAAAATTCTGTTAACATTGTTCTTTTCGTATTTTCATTCTCAATAATAGTAGATAAATTATCTTGGTCGTCATATCTTACTTGTTGATGATTTTCAATATGAAATTGTAAAGAATAAACAGTTGGATATATTTATGTTAAATTGAACAAAAAAAATCCTCCACATAGTTTCAGGTGGAGATGTCCATCTGGCAGATTGATAAGCAGAGATTTCATCGATTTCTTTCTCTGTTTCATTTGTGGGAACTAAAAAATGAATACGATCATATCATTTGTACACATATTTATACAAATATTTTACAGTTTTAATAGAAGAACATACTTCAACATTAATATGGTAGTCAAATTTAGCGTTTAAATAAGGATTATACATTACAACCCATCGATTGTCTAACATTTGACCTCTAACTTTAATAAAAATACCATTATCATAACGTTTATACAATGGATATGAGTTATCACCGAATATAGTAGTATTACAAAAATTCCTAGGGTATTTATTTTTACAACCTTTATTTCCTTCCATACATACATTTTTTGAATTAAGGTCTCTACAAGGGTCATGCATATTGTGCTTAACAATAACAGAATGAATATAAGGATATTTATTTTGGTCAGGAATTTCACATAAAACTATCTTATCAATATCTTCAGCAGAACAAATTTTGTGGCCATAGTTGAAAATCAATAATAGATGTGCATGAGGAAGCCCTCTTTTTTGAAATTCAATAACATATATTTTTATGCAACAATAGGGCCAAATATTTTTTTTATATATAAATCATTTTTTAACTCTTCTAATTTTGCTCTAAATATACGTGTAATTAGATCTAGTCGATTTTGAATCTCATCATTGTGTTTTAGTTGTTGCCTAATTCTTGCCAATTGGATTACATGTTATAGTCAAAAAATACATCTGGTTTTTCATAGCATTGTACAATAGCCATTGCATCCATATATCTTCTTAACATATCTCTAGGCCCACATGTAAAGGATTGTGGCAAAACAAAATTTCTTCCAATTTTGTACCCCTTGTTTCTCCATTTCGAATGCTGTCAACAATACCTTGGTAAAATTCAGCTCGAATTTGTTTTTGGTTATTACGAAAATAGTCTAATCGTGCAGTTTCGATCTTAACGTACATATCTACAATATAGTGTTGAAACAATCTACCACTATGAAGCAAAACAGACTTATCGGAATGCCTAATTTGCAATTTGTATTAATAGTATTCTCGACAAGAAACTTGAGACCGTTGCTTCGTTCCATTCAACACTGCAAAACGAAATGAAAATGAATTAATCATTTGTTAACATTTACACTACTAAACTTGGTAGAATGCACAATAAAACATTTTTCTAGACCTTGATTTTCTTTTTCTATAAATTCAGCTGCGGAGGCAACTGCATTTGGAAAAGTCACTAATTCAAGCAAAATTTCAAGCTGAAAATAGGTCTTTCTGCACTCTCAATGCTTTCATGCCAACCAGATTCTCCATATAAAAAAAGTAACGGATACTGCAAAGTATCATAACAACCGTATAATAATGAACCCTATGTGAATCACTGGAATGGCCATATATAGTAATGTCACGAACACGAACATTAGCATTCTAATCATCTTCGACCCATACAACAGCTACTTGAGATGCTGTAGGAGTATTGAAGACTCTTTGATCAAGTCCTGGTCATATCTTATGTGTATTCGATGCTCTTGCAAATTAGTTGTATGACTTAAAGACCTAAAGAATCTACTGTACGACTTTACCTTAAGGACTTCAATTAGAACAATCAAAGTACATTGAACAAAGTTTTCTAAATTTTTCATACGATTTTGAAGTTCATTATCTGTATCATAAAAGTATAATTGCATATAAGAAGGTGTACTGTTCTGTGGGATAAGTTCATTTACGTAATGATATACTTGTCCTTGAACTTGAATGTGTAAATACATCTATATGATTTGAAGAGCTCTTTGTCGTATTTAACACCAAATGAAGTGAAAGCAAAATAATTATTATATCCCCTTACAATCTTTTTAAATTCCATACATTTAGGTTCTTTGGAAGTAAACAAGTTGTACAGTTCAGTTGGTGAATCAGGCATATAGAGATGAACTTTCCATCAGAGCAACAGAAGCCTTTACTTTCTCTATAAAATTTTCTTCCACCACAATATTTACAACTATTGCATGTCGGTAATGCATATTAAGTCGTTGGTATGTTCAATACATTAAAACTACTTCGTAATGCAGAATTGGAAATATCATGTGTCTCTTGGTTTGAAGTAGAAGCCTCAAAATCATGATGCATTATAGATTGATGTATTCTTTCAATGTTGGAATTATTAATTTCAGATGACATGGGATCATTTATCCTCTTGCGACGATCATTGCACCCGATTCTAAGTCGATTTCGCCTATCCCTTTGCCTTTGGTTCTGTTGTTGGCGATAGGACATTGTTTCGAAATTCAGAGAACCAGTCACTCCATTAGAACATGTTTCCGAAACATCCATAAGAACAATTAGATAACTTAACGAATAGTTGGAGCCCAAGGTAACCAACAAGAACTAAAAGAATTGAAAAAAAAAAGCTATTAGCACATATATTATATCATACATATGTGGAAACTAAACTTTCAAGTAAAATAAATATGCCTACATAGAATTGTTTAATACTTTAACCTATTCACAATATGTAAAAACATGATAACTAACATAACATAAATTGCACTTTCTAAAACATACAAACTATAAACATCCAAACTAAAGCAATAAGGAATTTGAAGGTTGTCATTATGTTATTTGCTCTTTCTAGTATTTCATGATGCAGTTTATTGACAATGGGTTAGCTGTCAACCCAATGGTTGAGCTTATCCCCACATACTCATGCAAGTATTGCACTTCCAACAACCGTGGTCATTATGGGAAAATAATTAGAGGTACACTACACATAGAAAGCACTAAGATTTATGATGCTATAAGCATTAAACACAAAACCTCTCACATTTCCAAGCCTTTGGAAAGGAGCTTTGAAGTTCAATATGGCCTTTATTCCAGGAGCAGATTCGTCGATTGTAATGGTGGTAAAGAGCTAGCATTGGTTCCATAAGTCAATTATATGGTTCATCAAAGCATAAATCCATTTAACATTATTTATGGATTTGAAAGAAATGTCAACAAAAGAACATAAAAGAATAAGAAATCTAAGTTTGACATTGTTCTCAGCCACAAATAAAGTAAATGGAACTTGAAAATACTGCAAAACATAAGGTAAGAGTACTAAACGAGTAATTTCTATGTATAATCTAATTAAACATTATCAAAGGAAGCTAAACTTATAGAAGGAAAAGAAAATTCCTACCTTTCGACCGAAGCGAAACGAAGAGGAGAAAATTCTAAATATGGATAGCAGTTAGACCTTGCACATTGTTAATGAATGAGCGTCAAATTGAAGTAAAAATATGTACAAAGAATTGGAGACAATTTTTCTTTTACTAATGAGAATAGTAAAATCCGCCTCACTGTTTTTTAACAACAATACGAAATCAAGTTTGAGAAATCGAAAAGTGAAAAGCATAATGTTTTAGTCTTGTAAAGATTTGCATGTAAAGAATTTGTTTGCATTCACGAAGGATATGGTCGGGCGTATAGGAACTTCTTTATAAGCCTATAGAATAAAAATATTTTTATTATTTTTCCTAAGCTTAGCGAATTAGCAAACATGCTCCTAATATAAATTTTACTCATCAACCCAATAAACAGATAAATAACAAAATTATACAAATATTTGCACCAAAAATATACAGTGAATAATGTCAGTAGGAAAAAAAGAGAGAAAGAAATGCATGATAGGAAGAATCTCATTCCAGAAGTTGCCAAGTTGGTGGTCTATTTGTTCGCCTTGCTTCTGTTCTCTTTACTTTGTCCTTTGTCTTCTATTGGTCCGTTTTACTGTTAAAGCTCTCAATTTTACCTTTATATCCTATTTTATAAGACTCTCCAGTATATTGCAAGAGATCTGTTGCCAATAACAGAAAAAATAATCTATAGCAGGAACCCTATTAGTGGATGCTTCTGGATGGTATTTTGTGAATGGTTTCTCTCTCTCTCTCTCTCTCTCTCTCTCTCTCTCTCTCTCTCTCTGTGTGTGTGTGAGTGTGTGTGTTTATGCCCTTATGTATCAACAGCTCTGTTTTATGAGGCAGACAAAATTGTTGGTTGTTATATATGCTTATTTTACAATGTGTAGGTACCATCCGGACAAGAATGCAAATGATCCTAAAGGTGCAGATATATTCAAGGAGGTCACATTCTCTTATAATATTTTGTTTAATCCAGATAAAAGGCTTCAATATGACAAAGCTGGATTTGAGGTGAATACTTCTGTGCTCAACCTTGTGTTTCAAAGTACCTTTTACTTCAGTTAATTGAACCAATTTTAAATTATTTAGTTCAAAAATTGAAAATAGTTGCTTTGGACGGGCTGTTGAATCAGAAGAAGAAAAACTACAATATTTTTGGATTTTTTTTATTTTTTCACATGTATTATTTCGAATACAAAACTTTTCTAAAATCTAGAAAATTAAAGAACAATGTATAAACGCCAAAAAAAATCAGGGTGTAGATTTAAATTTCATTTATATTACATGAACTTTTCCAACAAACTTATGATTAATAAAAAAAAAAATGGGGAAACTGGATGCTTGCACTACAAAAGAAGAGAAACGAAAAAAAAATCGAGAAATCTACACTAAAGGAAGAAATTGAAGGCATGATAATTATACTTACCTTCAGAGAAGAAACGGTGATGTAGTTGTCGATTGGATTTGGGAGGGATTTTCTTTTGCCTCTTTTCTACCATATGGAGTGAGAAAGCTAGGGTTGCTATTGATGGCATCACGTTTTGGAAGATATTTTGTATATATAGGGAGTCTTTGATCGACATTTTATGTAAAAATATATTTTAGAATAGTAAATTGATGTGAAATGTGTGATTGAGAAATAAAGAAATGTTTTTAATTTACGTGTAATATTATTTTAATAAAAAATGTGTGGTTGAAAAGAAGAAAGAGAAAAATGCATTTTGAAAAAAATGACTACCAAATGAATCCATAATATATAATATGGAAGATATAAGAAAAGACCATTGGACCTGCCATTTAGAATTAATGTAATGGATATTTAAGGGTAAAATAGGAAACAAACAAATGCCTCCTAAATGAATAGTGGAATAGTGTAGACAAGTTTCTTTCTTTTAAGGAAAGTAGGACATATATATATATATATATATATATATAGTCTTAGTATAAGTAGGTGCACAAATTGTAAATTTTTATAATTGCATAAAATCTTTGCTAATTATTATGCTACCGTTATCTTTTAATAAGAAACTTATTCCTAAAATTAAATCTGTATTTAAAAATAATTCTCTTACCCATACTGAGTCTTTAGGTAAACTATATTCTATGCTTTTTCCACAATTAGTCTCAAAACTAATTCTTGCTAGTTTTAAGATATCTTGGTAACTATAAAAATTTCCATCCATTTGTTGAGCTTCTATAGGTTCTTTTGACTTTATTATATATTTTTCTGGTATGATTCTTTTATTAATTACACAATGACTACATCCTGAATCTATTAAACCTAAACAAATTATTTCAAAATTTTCTATTCTAACATAACATTTTACTTTAATACTTTTTAATTTTTCTGAATTACAAAAAACTTGAACTAATTCTGGTTCAGGAGTAATTTCTGGGTTTTTTCCTTTTTTATTTAATTCCAAGAATTCTAATTTTTGTAAAGTATATCTTTGCATATCTTCTAAGTTTTCTATTCTTTTTCTTAATATTTTTATTTCTGATAATTCTATTTGAACTGAATCAATCTGATTATCCTCTTCAAATTCTACTAAGTCTTTTTGTATTAAGCATTTTTTACATGCTTCTAAAAAATAATTTTTACATTTAACTCTTAATTTTTTACTAGGATACCATTTACATAAAAAACATGGTATACTATCTGAACCTATTTCTTTTACCCATTTATGTTTACATTCTAATTCTATATCCATAAATTCTAATTCTTCATCTGAATCTGATAAATTTTTAATATTTGAAAATTCTTGTATAAAATTTTCATAATCTGATTGTTCTTCTAAATTACAATTATTATTATAATCTTCTATTGATATAATACAATACACTAACTCTTTATCTGAAATATATTCATCTATTTCTAACAAGTCTCCATTAGTACATTCTACTAAAGTACTTCTTTTATCATTATTATTTATCTTTTTAGACATGTCTTAGCTAAATGATCTGTTTCTCCACAAACATAACAATTTAGTTTATTAGGATAATTTCTTTCTGGTTTAAATTTTCTAATATGTCTATTTTCATCTAAATAAAGCTTTCTTCTATTAGATTTTCTAAGATAATATCTTTTCTTAAAAGGTTGACTAATTTTCCTTTTATCATATTTTCTTTTAATCTTTTCTCTAAACTTATTACCATAAGTCTGAGGTATGAAAATATTTTTACAGAATTTATAATCTGTCTTTTTTAGTTGATTCTGGATTTGTAATTCAACACATTTTTCTTCTAAACATTGCATTATGAATTGTGTTCTTATTCCTATACTCCATAAATGATCTGGTTTTTCTATAACATTCTTATTTTCATTTCATCTTTTTGTTATTTCTAATCCTAAGGGAGCTGGTAATTTATGAAATAATTTTTTACCTAATTCTTGATTAAAAGTATTACCTGATATAGAAACAAGATAATGATATTCATTTAAAAATTGTTTAACTTCTTTTCCTTTAGTCCATCTATTTAGACTAAGTTGTTCAAGATTTCTGATAGCTTTATGTTGAATTAATAAATGTCATGTATTTGGATCTGCTCCTGTTAATAATTCATGTATCTTACTAACAAAATTATAAGGATTATTTTCTAATGTTACTAATGCTTCAAATTCTGTTTGTTTATCTTTCTTAAAAGCTTCCCATGTAACTTTAGCACTTTCTCCTAAAAATATCTCTAAATATCTATACATTTCTAATGATTCCATATTATCTGCTAATCTAATATAATGACCTAATATTGTATTCTTCCATACTTCTATTATATTATTCCAAGTTTGAGGATCATGTGCTGTAATATTTAATATTTGTGGTTTATGTGGTGTCGAAATTCTATTTTAGGTTCTAAAGGTCTAACCTTTCCTCTAGCTATATAATTTCTTTCTTTATCATTATAATCTGTATAAGCTCTTCTAGGAGGATGACCACCTAAATATTGATATTGTTCTCGTTCTGTTTTAATTAGCATAATTTCATCTGTTAATTTTTTGTAATTACTATCCTCTGAAATTTCTGTTTTATTATCAATTTCCTCTATATTAATTCCTACTCTTATATTTATCAATTATCATAATATAAATATTCTTTTTCTCCTATTTGTTTAATTAAAAACAAATGATCTTCTAATTTTAAAAGTTCTGTAGGAGATAATTTCATTTCTAATTCTTTAGAATAAATTATTCTGTCTTCTATTTCTATTTCTACTGCATTAAGAAATTCTTCTGTTTTTTGTTGTTCTTCATCATTATTATTATATTCTGTTTCAGAATCATTATTTCTATTTATATGACTATAATTTTCAAACTTTAGACTAATTCTTCCATGTAAATCTTTATATGTGATAGCTTCTTGAGGAGCTAAAATTGGTTCTTGAGTTTCCAAAAATTTTTCTAAATCCCATTCTAATCCTGCTAAAAGTTCTGAATCATAGGTTTTAGGCTTAATCATTTTTATTCCTTTACTACTCATTAAATTTATTACTTTATCTATGTATAATTTGTATTTTGTTTGAGAATTATTACTATATCTTCCTAAAAATCCTATACTTATTAATAAATTTTCTCCTGAAATAACATCTTCATATCCATGTGTTTGAATTCCTATTTTAATTTTTTCTGAAAAATCTTTTATAGTTAATAAAAAATCTGGATTACAATATATAATTCCATTATTATCATTCATATCTACCTCTGTACTAGCTATCATACTTTTTTCTATATTTAGAATTCTTTCATCATAAATAGTTAATAAAACTTTATTTCCTAAATTTTTTCTCATTAATCCTTTAATTTCTATTACTATTAATCCTAGATGCATAAATCTAAAATTCTTTTTTCTTAATTCTTTTTTAGATTCTTCTGATATTAATGATAATTGTCTTACTTGACCATCTAAACATTGAATTGATACTTCTCTAGTATGTCTAAAAAATTGGGTTCTTGATTCAAAAATTCCCCTATTATATAAATTTTCTGGATTAAGTAATTGTAGACCATGAGTTTGAAATCTATTATAATCTTGTTCAGGATCTATAAGTTCTTCTATATTCTGATTATACTGAGGCTGTCTATGTAAAATCCTTTCTATTATATTTGTACTTATATTAGAAGTACTATGTCTACCTCTATCATAGGGTTCTGAAGATGATCCTACTTCTCTAATAGTTCTTGATTTGCCAGGAAAATTATTCATATTTTATAAAATGTTGTAGATAATTTTCTAGTTCCAGCACAGGAACAAAAGCTCTGATACCAAAGAGAGAGGGGGGGTCCTGAAAGAGGTTAGTATTTCAAGGATTATAAGAAGGTTATAAGGCGGTTATAAATCAAATTATAAAAGTCCTACTCAGTACTCTTCTTAATTGAAATATCTTTTGATAAGATAATATTCATTTTTTTTTTTTTTACTTTTCTTTGAAATTAAAAAAGTATGCCATCTGAGACATATAAACTTGGGCTTAACTCCATTCTTGCAAGGACACCACTGGCACTCCCTTAACAAAAATTCTTAAAACAGTGATCCTTTTCTCCTTTCTATGCGTTTCATTAGCCTTTCCACTAGGCCTTTACGCTTTGAAGGATCACTCAAGGCTTATTTTAAAAACAGTTTAAACTTTAACTTGGAGTTAAGACATGCTCTTATCATATACTCAGCATGAAACATAAAACTTTACAAAAGATTTACAGAAACAAAAATCTCATAAATAACATTTGTTCTTTAAAGATCTGGGACTAATATTGATTATTAATACCATATCTTAGAACAATAAAACATACCTACCGGAATGATCCATCAGTAGTTTAAAAACATAAATATTTTTTGTAGGATATTATCATATCTAAGAATAAAAACAATTAAGAATTTTCCTTTCGGGAAAGAGAGAAAATTAGAACATGTTTCAAAGAAACAAAGAACTTTTTTTTTATTTTTCTATATTCTGTGTGTTTACAAGTGAAAGAAGACTGCTTATATAGGAAAGAAAAAGGAAGAAAACGCGTTTTTCAAAAGCAAAGAATCTTTGCTTTTTCAAAAATGTCAAAAAGAAAACAGTAAAAAGTTTAATTATCAAATCTTTCTTTATAAAACAGTAAGATTCGTTACAAATTTTTCAAAAAGAAAACAGTAAAAAGTCTGTATCTCTTACAATAATTTCTGATCTTTTTGAAAGTTTGCGAAGTGTCTCGTTTCCAGCTAAGTCTTTCTTTGTAGATCTTTCTTGAATCCTTATCTTGTCTCATAATTGTGTCGGACAATGCTGTCTAAAGATGCTCCTCCATCAGTAGAGCATTCTGAATTATTGTCCTCTTATGTATTATCCTCATAATCTTCTTCAAGATCAATTTTCTTTTTGCCTTTGTTTTTCTTCTTTATCTGCAACTTCTTTTTCTTTGAGGTCTTTTGTTTAACTTGTTGCTGTAATTCTTCTATTTTATCAAACATTTCTTTCAATCTTTTTATATCTGATTGAGTGATTTGCTCTAGATCTTGTGATGATTGAAATGATTCTGATATAAGATTAACTGGGCTTTTCTTTTTTAAATCTGTTGGACTAATTAATCTAGTAGCAGAATTTACTGTCTGCTGAGTCTGTTCTTCAGTAATTTTATTTTCTGTAACAGGATTTTCAGCTTGTTGAGTCTGATTAAATTGAAAAGTAGGAGAATCAACAGCCTCCTGAGTCTGTTGGGCTTTTGGTAAGTCCAGAACCATAAACGGATTTGTTAAGTCTTTACCAGCTACCGTTTGAGTTGGACTAGCTATAGACTTCTTGGGCTCTATAGTACCTGAAATTGTCTGAAAATCTGAATTTAAAATTTTTATTTTAATAATTTCTTGTTCTAGATCAGAAATCTTCTTTTGTAAAGCTAATTTTTCTTGTTGTAAAATCTGATTTGATTCATTTAAAATTTTAAAATTTCTAGTCATGCATTCACAATGTTAACAAAAATTTGAAGAAAAATCTAATGGCTGATCTGAAACATTTTTTAATGAAGGGGCTATAAATAATTAATTCCTAAATGCTTTCTGCATTCGTCTAATGCTTCTGAAACTGAATAAAAACCTTTATATAAAGGGTTTGGAAAATTTTTTATAAAATCTGATACTTCTATCCAAGTATGATAAACTCCTGGAAGTCTGCCTTGAAAAATAACATAACATTTAAATTTCTTATGATCTTGACTAAAATGTTCTGAAAGAGCATTTAAATATGCTAAAAAGTATTTTTGATCTTTAGGATTCTTATTATAAGAAATCCATAGATTATCTAAAATATATTTTTCTGATTTTGTAACTGAAATATGAGATAATGTCTTAAAGCTAATATTACTGTTTGGAAAACAAAGTAATTCTACATTACCAAATCTTAACTTGTCATGAATCTGTGCTAAATTAGTCTGAGATAATGATGAACTTGAACTGCCAATTGTTGGCAATCCTGGCCTAGAACCTCTTGGTCTTTGCATCTGCAAATTCTAAAAGAAATAATCAATCATATTCTTTATTTTTAATTATTCTACTTAAAATATCTGCTATCTGATTATCACTACCTTTAATTTGTTCAAAATTAATTACTAATCCAGTATTAGTAATTCTATCTATAAAATTTAACCATCTTCTTCGATTACTTCTTTTATTTTCTAATTTCATTTTATTAACAAAACTTACTATTTCTTCACAATCTGTTCTTAAAGTAATTTCTTTTTTAGAAATAATAAATAATTCAAAAGAATCTAATGCATAATTAACTGCAAGTAATTCTAAGTTTATGCTACTTATATTACCTTTTTCTTTATAGTTTTCACTATCCTTATCTGCATATTTATTGGGTTTTGCAATTAAAATTGCTCCACATCCTGTTATACTTTCATCTAATGTTCTCGCCTATTTTTACTAAATACTAAAATATCATCTATATAAACTATAATAAATTTATTATGCTTACTAAAAATACTATCCATTTTTCTTTGAAAAATACTAGGGGCATTTTTTAATCCAAATGGCATAACTAACCATTCAAAATGTCCTTCTGGGCTAGTGAAGGCTGTCCATTCTATTGAATTTGGGTGCATTTTTACTTGCCAAAAACCAGATTTTAAATCAAACTTACTAAAAATATTACAATCTTGAATCTTATTTATTAAAACTGTCTTATTTGGAATATTATAGGTATCATCTATTGTATTATCATTTAATCTTTTATAATTAATTACCATTCTACTTTTTCCTCTAATAATTTCTGAATGTTTTCTAACTATAAAAGCTGCTGATCTATATGGACTTTCTGATTTTTTTAATTACTCCTAATTTTAATAAATCTTTTATATGCATCTTAAAGTCTTCTGATCTTGGTTTGTAGCTTCAATATTTTTTGTCTTAATTATATATTCTGGATTTTTTATTTTTATTTCACAAAAAACTTTATCTTTTTCCCAATATTTTAATACATTTTCTCCTAAAATTTCTAATTTTTCTAGTTTACTAATCATGTTTTCTATATCTTGTTCTGTTACTAACAAATTATATATTTTTTCAATTTCTATTTTGAAAATCTAAATCACAATTTAGATCTATTTTACATTACGATTGAAGATGCTTTAACAAGCAAATAAATTCTTTAAATAAACCAAGGCATACCTCCTGAGAATGATTATCCATGCTCTACCTCTACCTCGAATATACAAATGGCAATGTCCTTTTTTACCAACTATTCTTATAACTATCATCTTTAATTTGTGCATGCAACCTCTGACAATGAAGAGTTGAGATTCACTCCACCTAATTACAAATTAACACATCATGAAAAAATATTAAAGTTTCATCGATTTTAATTTTCCAACCTTAACATCAAGTTTAATTTTCCATGTGTTAGCTTGTAATTGGGTAGATGGTAAATTAGACAACATAAATGAACATCAAATCTCAACTCGATGAGGACACACAATTCTTGATGCCAAACCAGTCCATAACATATTAACATCGATCATTGCAGATATTTCCTCAAGTGACAATACGCTCGACATTCAAGCAGCAATAGCTAAAGGACCTGATACTACCACTTGGATCTGGAACCTACATGCTGATGCTCACAATTTCGATAGCCATACCAGTGATTTGGAGGAGATCTCTAGAAAATTCTTTTGGGAAAGTCTTCTGCTTCTTGGCCTGGCACAGATCTTCTCGAATAAACTACTGTTTGCCCCTTGTTCTCGAGCCCTGGAGATACCAGAGCGGAGGGAAGGCCCCAGCTTTTAAATCCAATTTGTATTTTTATTTTATATATAAAGAGGAAGCCCGCTTCAAAGCTTGGAGTGAGAGAAGTTTTTTCCTTATGTCCCAAGTTAAGTCGCACACCTTTGATTTAATAACCCTCGAGTAGAGGCAACAACCATTGAGGGAATTTTACGTTTAGATCTATACACAGTAGGAAGGGCAATAGAGCCAATTTTCACTTATTTCAAATGTTTGTTTTGACAAACTTTTGACGAGATTATTATGAAAAAGAGTAGTGAATCTTAAGAAATATCTGAATAATGGTGAATCATGAACAATAATTGTGTGAATAATAGTGAAATTATGATAAAATAATATCAAATGCAGAGAACTAAGGGGTTCTTGGCCATTGCACAAAAATCTACTCACTTTACAGCATTATAGAGCAACATCAGATCCCTCCCTTCTTCCCGCAAAACAGATAAATACAAAAGTAGAGCTCAACTTTAAAGAAGGGGAGAAATTGAGGAAGACAGAAATCCGCAAAAACGGTGAAATCATGTGGAAATTAGCTTCTTTTCCTCCAAATGGCTTCAACCACAAGGTAAAAAAAACTCGACAGCTCAGTTTCAGGGCATGTCATAAGAAAAATCTCCTGCGACTAGTATCCATTTCAGGCTGGCACAGGGGGAAAAAAAAAAAAAAAAGGAAAAACAAGCCATTAGTAATTAAGTGGGACGAAAAAAGAGATTGTGCATGCGATTAAATAAGCAAGTAAAATTAGAAAATAACCTTATGAACCCACTCGTATTCCCCACCCTTTGTATCAAATGTTCCATGCTGCAGACTGATTAATTTCATTGTGAAACGAGGACCGCACTCCTGCAATTTTGAAATCAAATTTACGTTGGAACATATTTAATTAAAAGGTTTGCTTGGTATCACTTAAATCAGAGGTATAAGCTAATCAAAACAGGTTTTTATTAGTAATTGCATTCCGTTCTTACAATCTCTTCATCAGAACTTAAAAAAGGGTATCCAACTATCATGAGCAACATAATGTCTTATTTAAGGAAAATGACAAAGAATAATATACATATTCGAGATGATAAAAGTGAGATATCACATGTTCAAACTACATTTTTAGTGCGTCTGGTTGTGTGGATTAGAAAGTAGTAGAAAACATTGAAAAAAAAAAATAGAAATGATCTCATCTATTGTACCATCAAATACTCCGTATGAAGCATGCACATTCAATACATACACAATAAAAGGGAATACCAAAAGTCCATCTTTCTGTTTTATTTTCCCCCTTCCTTATCAAAAGTCAGGTTACATGACTTTTGGATTGTGGTCATGAAACAAGGACTGCATAATAACCACCACCCCTTTCTCCTCTTTCCAACCAGTCTCTGTTTCTTTCTCTCACTAGTCAGCAGAGATCTTGAAAATAGACTCTCAGTATCATCTAAGAGATAACTTCGAATTATCATTGCAAAGTAAAATGCAAGCATTATTTGGTACCTTTCCAGGGGTATTCTGCTGAAGGGTGCAAATTTCTTACTCCAGGGGTATTCTGCTGAAGGGTGCAAATTTCTTACTTTGCATTTTTTTTTTTTTTTTTTTTTAAATATATTTGGGGGAGCGCTACTAGCATAAAATTGATATATTTTTTTTTTTTTTGGTTATTGCTCCAAATTTTCCTTTACTGATTCCTCTTAGATTCTCATTCTATTAGAATTCCAAATTTTTTCAGTTCTAGACCAATCACTTTTGAGTCAACTCCCCTCTCCAGAACTCTAGACTCTTGGTCTGGCATTTACAGATAAACATAAAATGCACTGGACATTCACAGAGAAAGAATTAAACACAAACCTGAAGCCGGGCAATTACTTTCTCCTTAGACTTAGCCTCCTTACCATCCTTGCTGTTTTTACCTTTTGATTCTGCCTGTTTGCTTTCTTTGGTTTCAAATATGTAGCTTCACATGAAATGATATGCAATAATCAGATATACAGGCCACAAATTCCGTCAAGAATATAACGCACAGGATTATAAAAGCTTGAGGATACATACCGGTGATGGCGGAAGAATATAAAATCTCGTTGATTGTGGAAGGTAACAACTCGCCGACCACGGAAATTAGGTACTTGCGGAAATAGAGATTGTATCATCCTAATTCAAATAACCAGGCATAATTTCGTGAATTGACAGTAAGAGAATTATAACCACATAGGATATAGACACAGATACGAAGAGCCGGGGAAGGGAGAGGGGGTAGAGAGAGACGATCTATAATTCGCCAAGAGAAAATAGCAATAAATAATGATATATGAGTAAAGTCGGAAATCACATACTACTCTAATGTAGACTGAACATCACTATATTGAGTATCACAGAAAACCTAGAAAGTACCTCCCAACACGATGTCCCAAACGTGTTGAAAAATTGGTCAAAACTAGCTCAGGCTCATGACTAGTTGGATTTCCATGATTCTGAAAGCAACATAAAACCACATTTAATAGGAAACTATCCAAGATTAAGAAATATAAAAAACTAATGGTACACCCATAATGATAGAACACTGAAGAATTTGCAAGGTAAAGATTTATCCTTCCTTCTTATGAAAGAATTGAGCCATCACTTGTGATCAGTGCCCTACTTATTTCATTTATACAAATATAGATTCAACGTCACGAGAAGAAACAGATTATTAAAGGATAGTAGTTGATAGAGAAAAATAATTCTACTCCACATTGGTTTCTCCATTTTCATGATGTCCCCTTTGAACATGAAGATAAACGGGTAAAGAAAAAGGTAAAAGAATGGCTAGACCTTGAGATCTTTGCGTAAAACAAGCCTTGATAATTTGAAATGTGCAGTCGGCCCATCAGGTAAGCCTATGATTAGGAGAGCATCTGCAAGTAGCTAAAAAGTAAGCTTTCCAAGATAACTCAGAAAATCAGATGGGGAGCAATGTATGATGAATTCTATAATATAATACACCTAAGATAGACACTTGGTCTATATCCTTTAAAGGCTGCAAATTCCATCCTAATTTTCATCATCGTGTTCAAAATTTAAACAGATAACAAAATTTGCTTACATGCTATTGTCTAGATTTACATTCTAGAGTTTACAGTAGATAGATTTGCAATAGATATTTTATTTATAAAGTACATTCATTCCATTAACACATTCATAAAGTACATTCATTCCATTAAACACATGCAAGAATTATGGTTTTTAGAGTTCAAAAAACCTATCTTCCTAAACTTCATATTTCTCTTGCTGCAAACCCTCTCATCCAACAAGTCAAAAACCTATATACTTTGACCTTTTATCTTTCTGGTCAATGACCACTTTGGGACACATCAATCTTTGTTAAAAAACTACAAAAGAGGCTTTAACATTCCGATAGCATCTCTTATATTTATCGCAGAACAAATTAAGTTTCAAAACTTGAAACTCGCAGTTTCTTCCCAAACCACAAGTGCATGACTATATGTGTACATAAGTGAGTGTGGGTAGAGGAAAGATAAGATGAAAAATACTCCAAGAGAATAATATCTTTAAAAATGTAGCAAGAATAGAAAACCTTCCTTAGAGATGTCAACAAATCACATGGGCACTTGTATACCCGAAGGGTGAAGGTATCAGTTATAGGTCTGTATCTTTATTTCCTTTATCAATCAGGTAAAATTAAATCAATTGGGTGGAAAGATCCAAGGTGAACTTTCACCGTGCTGCAATGATAAAATTGTTTGCTTTTCTATGTAATTATGTCATTTGGTTTTCTGCTGGACAAGAAAAATCCAGTGTAGCATGGAAGTTGAAACATTTAGTATGACTCCCAAACTGAGCTACCTTTACTATATTCAAGAGACTGCATCATTATGTGACCTAGTCAATATCAGTTCACCACCAGTTTGCTTTCTTTTAACAATATGAAACTCTTAATAGGTCATTCCAGATGTCACAAAGTAAGTGATGATTATGCATTTTACTTAACGTTAACATATAGCAAATGTATTGCAGTTTTAACTCAATAGGATCAATTCACTCATCAATAAAGACTGGAAGGCCCTAATAATTACTCCATAAGATTAGAGCAATAATTTACCCGGTTCCCTGCGGTTGGTGTGGACGACAATGAGTGAAGTGAAGTCCTTATTTTTTGCATATTCAACAATCTGCAGAAAATAAGAAAATATTCTCCATAATTAACTTCATACAGCTATCCTAATCAAATTTAATTGGACAATAAATGAAGAAATTGATAGAAACTCAATACCTTTTTGAGGTCATAGGTGCCTCTCTTGTAGTAATGAGCATTGGGGATGACCGATAAAAGATCTGTAATAAAAGCAGGTCCCCTCTGCAGTCAAGTGCAAGAGAACAACATATTTTAGCAACTCGTATAACAATACTGACAAGTAAAGAAACAATATATGAGTATAACATACAGTGGAATTGAAGCGGGACGTGGTAATCAAGATCTTAGGAGTAAAGTCTTGCTTCAAGATGGAACTAAATTCATCAGCATCATTGCCGGCAAATAGCTCTTCATCATCGGGCTTACAGATAGTATCATCAATCTCACGCGTGTTCTCTATGGTTCGAGGAATTTTTTTCAGAGGAAGCTCCTCGCCGAGCTCCAGAGCTCTTTTCTCATCAGCTTCACGAACCTTGGCATTTTTCCGTTTCTCCACCTTTTTCTGATGCTTGAGCTTCACAAGGATGGCTGATCGCCGCTCCTTGTTTTTTACTGTAGACGGAAGGAGCGTATCATTATGCTTCATCTTCTCCTGTCTACTGTCTTCAGTGGCGGAGCCAAGAATTACTGATAACGGGGGCAAAATAATTTAAAAATTTAATGTACTAATAAAATTTATATAAAATAAGAAAAAATTCATAATATAAGTTACTACTGAAGTTGTACTCACAGCATAAAATTCATCTGTAATAGAATCTAGATCTAAATTCATACTAAATTCTCGTTCAATGTTTAGTGTTAAACAATCAGCAAGAAAACCATCATCCAAGATCTCGAACAAAACCAAGTATAATTAATTATTCCAGGCGTCTGGCCCTCGAACAAATTCCATTATTTCTGCCTTTTGCTTCTTCATTCTTATTATCACCGAACATTGATCATATACAACAAACCAAGTATAATTAATTGAAAAGATATCGAAAGATTTTCATGTTCTAAGAATCTAATTAGTAAATTACTTACCCTAAAACCTAACCCAAGTGGGCAGCCAAGCGTGAGGCGGCGAATCGGTGAGAGTCCGTCACTCACGGGCCGGCAGGCGGAAATCGGCGGTTCTTCTGCCGGCGGCTACGGGCAGGCAGGGGCAAATTTCTAAGATTAGGGATTTTAATTTTTTATTTTTGGGAATTATTTGAATTGGTTTTGCAAAGGAACGGAATGGAGAAGGTTAGGGAATTAATGGACTGAATAAGAAAATGGGTAATGACTAATGGATATTATTGGGCCTAAAATTATAGAGATTAGTGGGCTACAGATTAAAGAAATTCTTTTAGAAGTGGGCTAGCACACTGAATTTATTTGTTGGTGGGCTAATGTGGCTCATTGAAATCTTTTAAATACGAACTCCTCAAACTCGTCATTGTCTTCAAATAGATCGATCTTTGGGTCCTCGGTCGCGGGCTTTGGTTGCTCGGTCGCCATTCCTAGCCCCCAACACAAAAATACCATATTCCAGTAAATATACAGGATTTATACAGAAATTAGCATGTAGAAGCAAAATTTCTAGTTAAACCCCCCAACCCTATCCCCTTCTATATTAGTTGCGCGTGTCTGTTTTGCAGGTAACGTGAATTTACAACAAAATTAAAATTTTGAAAGTGCGAAGGGAATTAACTTACAGAGATAGATGATAATCGAAAGAAGCAATCGGCTAATTGATTGGTTTTCACGAATTTGGGAATGAGTTTGAGGGTTGAGTTTTTTCTGCTATATTGGACGCCAAAATATCTACGACGTCGTAACTGTTATTAGATTGTGAAAATTAGTTCTCAACTCTTAAAGAAGAGCAAAATAGATCTCAACCTATTGTTGTAGTTTCATAATCAATCCTCTATGGAAACAAATAGTAATTTCATCCTAATACGTCCACTTTATGAAGTTAGGCCATGTTTGGTGGAGATAAAGATTAGTTTTATAATAGATTTTGATAAAAGTTGATAAAATGCGTAGTTGAAAATTTGTGAATTTCATGAAATATGTGATCAAAATTAATTACTGATTTTAACTTAAATTAAAATCTAAATTTTAATCCCTATCATAAATGGGCTAAAATTTATTATCAACTTAAATTAGTGTCTAGCCTAATCAAACCAAGCATTCGCAATTTTAGAATCTCACTAACGAATGACATATTCTTTCCGATCAAAATAGGCAGGTCAATTTCTTTTCAATCAAATATACATCAGCAGTAGTATACCATTGCATGCCATAATTTTTACTTGGTTATCGTTGCTGACTTACCATCATTAAATACCGCACTTTAATGTAGAAAGACAAAACATGTTTGAAGGGAGAACTTGTTACAAAAGAAGAGTAATGGAACTCATTTTTCTTTCAAGCCAAGCAGCACAAAAAGGATATTAAGCCTCCCGTTTGATTTCCATTTTTTGGCCACAAAAATAAAAAATATGATCGTTATCCATCACATCAACTCAACATATTAGACTTTCTATCTCCTGTGTGGATCCCATAACGGTTATATTTTTCATTCTCGTTCTTACATAAATAAGTATCAAACGCGAACTAAACCTTGCTATTATTTTTTTTTTTATGAACTTCAAAAAAGACTAAAAAGAACATAGAAAGTGAATGGTCCTGGCCTAGACATGGACGCTCCAAACGCATAATTCGACCTGTTTTACACCTCTATCCCCACACACACATTCTCTTTTGTCAACGGCAACCACTGAATCATTGATCCCATACTCTTTTCATTTAGATGATTAATTCAAACATAAATAAAATTCCGAGATGACAGAATCACAATCTCTCAAAGTTGAAGATTTAATCCACATATACCATAACCACAAAACTATAGATTAACGATAACAAATCATAAGAAATTACCCAATCAACTCTGAAATAAATAACATCGTCAAGGTTTTACATACGTCAACTCATCTTCCCTATACAACATGATATTGCAATTTAAACCTTACGATAGCAGTTTGCCATGTTCAGACATCCAGAGCATTGTGTCCCGCAACAGAAACAAGATCTTAAATTGGAATATGCAATGTCATTGTATGATCCAGAAAATTAATAATCTTGAAAATAGAACTCAAAACTTGCAATGTTCTCTCTTCACAGGTTATCTAAAACATGAATTAAAAGCATTACTTTGTTTCCATATGTTCAGGGAAACCTCAACTACAAAGAACCAAGCAAGGACTCTAAAGGAGTATCAAAATCAGTTACAAAATGCTTATATATGTTATATCATGACTACTCATGCCATTTAAGAATCAATTGATTCTCCAGTGGCTTTATGATCTCAAGAAAAATCAGGCTCGTCCGGTTTAAAAATCTGGGGCAGTCGTAAGCTAGAATCATTAGGCTCGACAAATGTGACCTTTTGAGCAGCCCCTCTTCTGGTATTTGCAGCAAATTTTGATGCCAGTATGGTAGCTCCAAGTTGCTGTGCATTTTCAGAAGCCTTACTTTCTTGTTTATCAGCATACTCATCCTCATCCTCTGGCCATTGCATGTAATACAAGCTCTCCTGTCTTGCTAATTCATCTGCAAGCTTTCTCCTTTTCCACCGTCTCCAAGCGGCTTGCATATAGCAAGCACCCCACGTCCTCCACTGGTGAGAATAGTAGCGAAAAGCGTGTTGTAGTTTCTTGCTATGTAGACGTTTAAATTGATTTGCAACAAATTTGAGGTCCTCAGAGCGAAGTGCAAAGGCCTCGACTTCAGTAATTGATTTAACTGTCCGAGTAGAAGCTGGAAGATTGACGTTCGAAGCAGGCATTAAGGCCCATGTTAGCAATTCTTCACCACAAAAATCCCCTGGTTTAAGAGTAATGGAATTGAAGAATCCAGACCGTCCACCATTAGTTGTTGAGCTTTCGAGTTGGCCTCTAATTATGAAAAGCATCTCGTTTACTGGATCTCCTTCACGGACAATGTATGTATCTTTGGTGTTCAAAGATGAAACAAGGCGTTCACATATTGCATCCAGGAGTTGGTCATCCATTTGTGAGAAGAAAGGAACCTGGAAACAAAATCAAAATGCATCTGCAATAAATTAAAGAAGAAATAAAGGTAGTGCAATATAATGACAGAAATTGAGATTTAATGATCATTTGATTCTATAGTATTAGGGTCCGGGAGCCTCTAGTTTCTAACTTAACATTATCACCAAATTTATATTTTGTTTTCAGTAACTTCTGCCATAAAGGAAGATAGTAAAATTTTACTTAAAATTACAAAATTAGAAAGTATAAGATATATTTTTACACAAACATAAAAAATTAGCATAATTGAAAGTTGAGAAATGAGAAGTACGAACAGATGCACGTTGTTTCAGACTACTACTCTTTCTCAGTGCATAACGGTGTATTCCTAAATTACTTGGCCCCAAATAGGAGACAATAAGAAAATGAACTCACCCGACGAACTAGGGATAGACAAAGATGACTCTGAATTTGGCGTCGCAGATCTAGTGGTAAAGATTGCAAAATATCTTCTTCCTCTACTCCTTTTGTAGCGAGCCATTTATATTGAACAAATCGACGAATACGATCCTGCAGATCTGGAGGTAGTTGGCGGTGCCTCATCCATTCCTCAGTATCTCGTCGTCTAATCCTCCATTCTTCTAGTCGTGCTGACATAGATTGCAGATAGGTCTTCACATATGAAACAATATATAAAAGTCAGAGATTTATCCATTGTCAATCACACAGTATCACAGAAACTTGTTCTTTTTCGTGTTTTGTAGAAATCAATACAGTCAAATACATCTTCATTTGAGCAAGATTTGTACCTATATAATAGCAAATAAGGATATGAATTCAATCAATTCCTATTTAACTAATCCATAAAATTCAAGAGAGCACTAAAAGCTGGGGAATTTACATTAATAAAGAACTTGTATCATAATGAAGAGCTTGATTCCAGCTCAACTGTAGTCCATTATTGTAGGAATTTCTTGATGATAGAAATATGTAGATGGTAAAATGCAAGACCATTTTACATTTTAATGAAAAACTAAATAGCAGGAGAGAATACCATCCAGAGCACAATGCACAAGGAAAAATCGTTCTTAATCAGTAAAGAAGTGTTGCTTAGCTTCAAATTCTAAGTTACTATAATTATTTCCTTAAATCAATTAACTATGCATAGCTTCTAATTCTCAGTTGCTACAATCGTTTCTTCAAATCAATAATAAACTGACTTTCGCCATCTTTTTCTAATATGTTTTATTTTCCATCGCTGGACATAATGAGATGAGTTTTGCTTCTTATTTACAAGGCTGTAAATTGTATAAGCTATCGAAGAAGTTTACTTTGCCAGACTTTTGTGTCCAATAATGGCATATAACTTGCAAAAAAATAACTGAATGGACATTAGAGAAGCTCAGAAAACTGATATATGTGTTTGTTTTAGTATAATACAAGGACAATATGACAATAGCATGACTGTGAATTCAGGAGCGCAAGACAATACCTGCATGTTTCCTATCAGGAGCGAAAAGAAAACTAAACCCATCAGACAAATTAGACTGCTGAAGATTGTTTCAATTACATAAGTTGTTGTATTCAAACCTTGTCCATATGAGCTGCAAACAGAGAGATTTAGTTTATGAAATAAGTAGCTTGTTTAACTTATAAGAAAAACTAACCCATACAAACATGTTTGGAAGCAAAAATTACTTATTATTATGTTTAAGCAAATTTTAATCTTAGCCAAAAATGCTCTAAGAAGTCTACAATTACTATTTCTTTTGAAAAAAACACCTAACTATCTTTTTGCAAAGACATACATACATATATATTGTCATATTTACATCATTACATATATCTCTATTAGAATAACTACATATGTATAATGTTTAATTGCATTGAGGATTTGTAGGATGAGCTGGTCGGGTTCACTGGGTTTTCCAAAATAGACACTCGTAACGGATACCATCATATTAGGATCAAACCTGGAGGTGATTGGAAACTTCCTTTACTCATGATGGCTTATATGAGCAGTTAGTTATTCCTTTCAGATATCTAATGCTCCTAGTACTTTTTAGGAGCATTATGATTGATGTCTTGTGCCATTTTATTGGGAAATTCTTTGTCGTGTATTTCGATGACATTCTAATTTAATATCGGTCTCAGGGAGCAAATATAGACCATCTTAGGCAAGTCTTTCATAATCTCTGCTGAAAATATATGTGCCAACGTCAGGGAATGTTCTTGCATGCATCCACAGGTCCTTTTCTTAGGGTTCATAGAATCTACTGAATGCAATTCTGCTGACACTTAGAAAGTTAAGGCACCTCGAGAATGGCCTGAAACAAAAACATCAAAAGAAGCTTGTAATTTCCATAATTACCCTCTTTCATCCGAGGTTTATTAAGGACTTTAGTACAATTATAAGCCCCATCACTTAGTGCATGAAAACGGGTGAATGAGTTCCTTTGGACCCCATCATTCCAAAAGTACAACCTTAACAAAAATGCAAAATTGACAAAGGCCCCAGCTTTAAGACACCCTAACCTTCCTAGAGATTTTGAGGTAGCATGTGATCTATCAGGTGAAGAATAGTGTGTTTTGGGTCAAGATCGTCATCTTGTGGCCTTATTTACTAGACATTTTAAGTAAGACAATGGTTTTTCAAATTTCCTCTTCCACATTCTTTTCTCCCTGCAAAGCCAATGGTTTGACAAAAGTAATTTGAAGAAATCTTCCCCCCACCCTACCACAAACTATAGCAAGTCGAGACTCATGATACACCAAATTCAACATCTGAAACTAAATGATCTGGGTTCTAGATAATATGTTGCTATATTTTCCTTTTCGACCTCCCCAGAAACATGAGTAGCAGATATGCGTTTGAATGAAAATTGAACTCAAAGTTTTGAATGAGATGTAAATTATGTAAACCAAACAATATATATAGATCTGTTTAATCATAACAAGTATAAAAAAAAAAAATTGTAAGAAATAGAAATAAAAAAAAAAAAAAGTGCAAACCTTATTATCTGGAATTTCCCCGAAAAGAAGCCTATTTTTTAGGTCTAACTTATAGGCAGGAGTAGATTAGGTTGGACATATGTTATTTCAAGACTACATCCATTAAATCATGTCACTATATTAACACATCATGAGGATAAAAAGGTCAAAATCCCTCTAAGAATACTCATCCCATTAAGTCACTAATAACCAGTTTTTCCAGTATATTGTGGGCATATGCCGACAGGAGGTAACTTTCATCTATCTCCTATTTATTTTATCTCTTTGATGGGAGAAAGATAACTCAAATAAATATAAAGAGAAGTAGGTTTAGTTTAATTCTTGAATAGACTAGACAACTCAATTTCTAATTCCCATTTACATAGAAAGACCTTTGAATCTGAATGCTGTTGTTGGAGATACAATTTACGGCTTCCACACTTTATTGTTTATATTCTAAAAGCTGCTAACAGAATATAATATAAGTTATTGAGGAAAATATATTATACAGTTAAGTACAATCTATATAGGCAAAGAATTTTGTATTGCATAGGCAAGGATGAGAAAAGTTGGTTGAGATCATATCATTATTCCACAGCAAGTACATTGGACAAGCTATTGATTGGAGCTAAGCTACTATGAGATCTCAAGAAATTTACCTGAGATTCTTTAAACCCCACCAGAGACAGTAGAAATATTTATCTACAAAATCTGCTGAAGTAACTTGATCCTTGAATGCATCAGCAAACATTCCAAAATCAAAATCAGTGGATTTGATTCGAGCATTACAATTTCTGTAGACTTTTGTAGAGTTCAACCAAGCAACAGTCCTTGCATCGGGGAAATGTAGACAATCAAAATATTGAATACTACAAGGAGTACGGCCATGTTGCTCCTTCCTACATTGCTGCTTCCAGCATGAAAAATGCCTCTCCACAGACATCAAATACCATGCAGCTCCTAAAACCTACACCAACGATTTGAAAAGAATGATTACTATATTGAATTTACTAAATCCATATTCTATCCAACAGTTTTGTCATTTTCTTAACAAAAACAGTAGGAGGTTATATAATTGCATGAAAAAATATGGAGGAAAAAAGAGAATTAATATGTTGACAAATTTAGTTGGTTCTTACATGACTTGCTAACATATACAGAAGGAGGTTATATGCTGCTCCTGACCAAGCAGTCTTTGCAACAACCCCGGTGTTTTTTACAATTCGACTGTTCAAAGGGAAAATAACAACAAGCCGGGGCACATACTGTAGGATGATAACCAAAGAAATGGCATGATTGGTGTGAGCAGCCGATCGTGTGTGTGTTCGTACTAATGGCATTGCCAAATAAACAACAAACTGCCAAATGAAACAGGAGAAAAAACACGCCAATAACCAGAAATTAGTGACCATCATCTTAAAAAATGAAAGAAAAGAACACCTGCATACATGAAATAAAGAAACAAGGAAAACTGATCAAAAAGTCATATTATGCATCACTGAACTTCTTATGGATATCAAGTAACTGACCAAAACGACTATAGGTAAACTTTCGCTCTGCAGGATGTTTGAAGTCAAAGTAAATAGACAACAAGGCCAATTACCTCTTTATGCATAAAGATGATGGTATCTTCTTCAAAATCATTGAAAAGGGGGACATTTAAATGAAATTCAAGTCAATACATCTTCCAATCACCATCTCGATTTCAGAGCATGCACTTGGAAGTCAAAGAGAATCAATTTTTCATGTTTTTTTTGGAAAACCACCACACAAGAGGTTTTGAAGAAGCACGGTAGTTTTCCACTTGAGTGCTTGATGAAATCAAGCTGTCGCTGCAATATTTTTGCTTTAAAGATGGAAACGTGTGAATAAATAATATCGTGCAAAATATCTCTAATTCATACATTCCTATGGCATCATATTTTCTGAAATTGGAAGTAAGTGGATGGTCCAGTGTAATGTATCCCCACTTTTGAGTAAACCACATATCGTGATTTTTAGTTCTTTGGTTCACCTCGTTTGTCTAGCCTATAGAAATTCATATTTAACAATGTGAATCTAATTTTTGAAAGAATTTGATAGGGCGCTTTTAATTGTTTTACAAACTCATGGATTTCCATTTCTTTTAATTTCTCTCTCAAATCGAAAATGAGCTTATCAAATTCTTTCAAAAATTAGAAAATTAACTTTTCTGAACGCAGAAATCCTGAACAGATAATCGAGTGCACAAAAATTCAGTTCGGGCTAAAAAGTGAACCAAAAACAGAAACCTTACTTGAGGGAGGGGAAGAGCAGCAGCCAGATCAATAACGAAATCAGTTTTCAAATATCGAATCACTATCTTCCTCGGATCCCTCACAAGCTCACCCTTTCCAAAAACCCGAGAACTTGTAGCCACGTACGAAGTACGGAATTTCATCAAAATCTGAAGCGCGGAGAACAGATCCACAATGGAGCGCACCAGAATAACAATAATGGCCAGCGCGAAGTCCGTATACATACAGCTTTCGGCCCTAATATTAGGCAGGTAGAAGAACAGTGGATCCACAAAAAGAGCGATTAATGAGGTGACTAAAAAGATTTGATTCCATTTGGTAACGATTTCGCCATTGGGGTCGAGAATCTGGCACCACCATGGTTGATTGTTACCGTAGATGAGGGAGGAGGGTTTGGGGAGGGGAAGGTGCTGGAGGAGCTTCGTGGATTCCCGGTGGAAATTGTTCATCATCGACATAGCTGTGGCCGATCATAGAGAGAGAATGGATGGGGAGAAACCCTCTGAGAGAGAGAGAGAGAGAGAGTAATAACGGAGAAGAAAGCGGGGAGCCATGAGAAGTTGAACCAGAACAACGCTGCTGGCGCCAAATCTAACTGTTTTTTGGAATTCCATTTTATTTATAATTATTTATTCAATATTTATAAAATAAACATTTTTATCAAATTATTATTCATATATTTCGTGGGAACCAGTACTATTTTTCTTATTATTCCTATTTATAAATATTTATAAATTTACCCAAAAGAGGCTTAGTTGCTTTGAACTTTACGAGATTTTACGTTAATACATGCAACTCATTTTTCACATTTAAACTTTTTCGATGAAATAGTTAATGTAGTATCACAATTTGGTTTGAAGTCTCTTCATCGCCTATCTATGAGAAATTATATACATCTTAGACAAGCATGAATCATTCTTTATGTGAAGGAACATGTTGAAGACAAGATTTAAATGAATACTTGATATTCTGTCCTAACATTTTAAACTTTTAAATAAGATAATTAACCTATTATTAGAGCTTGACAAAAGAATACGTCCAAGTCTCGACGCCACCTAAACATAAAAAACGTGTTGAAAACAAAATTTAATTCATGACTCGTCGTAACTTAATTTTATCTATGTTAAAATAAGAAAGAGAAGGAAGATATGTGGTTTACCTTTCACTTGTTTATGTTTACAATTAAGGAAAATGTACAAAGAATTGTTTAATTGTCTTTTTCTATTTGGTTAAACAATAATTGGTCAATTGGACAAACGAAAGAGTTAGTGAAATTTGTCCAAAATGCAGTCCTTAATGATTGAATTAATCCTGGAATTTGTAAATAATATTTTAAGTTTATTTATTTAACCATTTCTACTCAGAATAAGGACATATTTAATACGTTTGAACTAACATTTAAAATATAACACTGTTCAAAGTAAAATAATTGAGACGTTTTGTTTTAGTGCAGAATTCTGAATAATTATGACTAATAAGAATGAGTAAGGTTGTGTAAAAGAGCATTTTAACACTCAATTTGCTTTATCATACTAGATTTATGACGTGCATATTTTTCATAAATGGAGAGATACGAAATTCGGACTAATTTCTTTGCCTACTCTAATACCATACTGTACAACGTTTAAGTTGTAAAAATTAAACTAAACCCACATCAATGCTCGGTGCATATATATCAAAGGGTACACAGAATAATCAATTTTGATAAATAAGTGATGACAAATCTTCAAATCGTCACCTATAATGACTGTAGAATCACAAACGTGTTTATTTGTTTAAACTAGTCTCAGACCATAGGAAATAAATTTATTTATTTAAATTGTGTCTTCAATAAGTGTAAAACGGGAATCAACATACAATTATTACATTTTGAGAGGAACTAAAAAATTGCAAAGAAAAAGAATATGCAATGAGATATAACGAAATGAGTTTGCCATCTGAAAAATTTCATGAACTTTATGTGTGATCAAATTTATATCAGGCCTCAGAACTAAGAGATTTCTCTTCATATTCCTTAATAGAGTTTATGATTACGGTAACTTCCCTCATGCATGGCCTTTCTTCTGGTGATGGATTTATGCACTTTAGAGCTATATGCAAAAGATTCACCATCCTCTCCTCACTTGCACCCTCCGATACCAATGTCTTGTCGAAAACTTCAACCGTCCATTCTTCTCTTATAGCCGTATTCACCCACTGGCCTAAGTCGAACCCATTGTTCTGGACGAGTTTCCCGGTCAGCAGCTCAAGAAGTATGACGCCGAATCCATAAACATCAGCCTTGAACGCGTTGTTTACTGGGGAAGTGATATCTTGGAAGCTGTCATTAGGAGGAAGAAATGATTGATCTTGATTGTTAACCACTGCTAGACCATATTCACTTATACAGGGCTCCATTCCATTGTTCAGCAAAATATTTGAGGATTTCAGGTTGCCATGTGCAATTCCATCTCTTTGAAGTCCCTCATGCATGAAAGCCAATGCCTCAGCAATTCTGGCTGCGACACTTAATCTGCTTCCCCAATCAAATAATTGCCCATTTTGTGATCCTGAAAATTAGCATCAATGTGTTAGAAAATTACGATATTTTATAGATTAAGAAAGAAAAGAATCAAAGCAGACACTCAGATTTTGTAGTGGTTCAAGCTCAAGATAAGAGCTACTTCCACACTTGTAGCCGGTTTTCACTATAATAGGGAAAAAGAATACGAGTTTTCTCGCGTCTATCACACACAAAACCAGCCCCTTAATTATCAGTTTTTTCCTTGAAAATTAGCATGGTATCAGAACCCATTAAATTCCAATGAGTAATTCTATTCAATTAAGACTTGAAAATAAGCACATGAATTTCAAAATTGATCTGCTCAAATGAGTCACCATCTTGCGGGATCATGTTAAGGGATAAAATTCAACATCGAATGAAGATGGAAAAATAAACCAACTTATAAGGTTTTGGACTACTCTTCTTAAAAAGGTTGACCTTTTAAGATGGAATCATAAGTCTTAACAGAAACATTATAAAACCCGCCCCCTAAAATAGGAACATTAAAAACCCTATAAATGTATATATCTAGAATTTGCGGTCGAGGGGATAAGTGTGCAATATGATTAACTCTACTGAGTCCAACATTTGATCAGATCTTTAAGCCCCAATGCAGCATTGGGTAAATATTTATGCTAATATTTCGGGTGAACTCAATGCTATGTCTACACAATAAGTTCCAAAAATGAATATTTCTTTAAATAAAATGATACAAAGGAATAACTTACCATGAATAAGCCTGAAGAGACTGCCATTCTCCTGGAATTGATAAACCAAGAGCTGTTCTTGCCTTGAACAGTAATAGGCAACAACAGGCGTTACATGTGGATGCTTTACTTGGTCTATTCTATGCACCCTCTTCTTGAAATCGTCTCTAGAAATGTCCCAATTCCGGATTCTTTTCACCGCGAGAGTCATTCCGCTGTTAAGCGTGACCTTGTATAGGCTTCCATGTCGACCTCTTCCGATCAATTCAGCTGGAGATCGAAGCAAATCCTCGAATTTCAGCCCATTAGCCACCGGGCTCGAGAGAACTACAAGTGATGATGAAGCCATCCCACTTTCAACGGATGTTATTGAATACTCGGATATGTTTCCTCCTCTTTTCGACTCACTAGAAGTGCTGCTACTAATCTTGTCTTTTGTTGCATCTGTTTGCAAGCCCTTTTTCGCAATCTCCTTCTTCTCTTTATTCTTTTTGTTCCGTATCACTTTGAGGGCAATGAGACACACAAGAATTAGGCCGATAAAAGCATATCCGAGATACATAAGATACATCTTGCTCGACAGACCTTGCTTTTCGGCCGGAGGAGGAGGAGGGGGGGGAGAGCAAGCATTAGGCAATGGCTCTCCACATAATCCAGGATTGCCTAAAAAGCTACTTGCATTGAAATGACCCTCAACATCAGGAATACTCCCACTGAGATTGTTGTCAGAGACATTGAATTCTTCAAGATTCGAGAACTCAAACTTTGGTATAACTCCATTGAACTGATTGTTTTGAGCAAGAAAAGTGAGCAATCCCGAGACTCTTGAAATATCCGGTATCCCACCGGTGAAGCCATTGTCTGATATAACAAGTCTCTTCAAATTACTTAATCTTGACAGGGATCCAGGGAGATCCCCGGTGAAACTATTTTCGTGTAGATACAAATGTGTCAAACGCGTGCAATTTGATACCTCGTCTGGTAAAATCCCAGAAACATTATTGTTGCTTAGGCTCAGCACTGCAAGATTCTTCGCTGAACACACAGAAGCAGCATCAAGAACACCAGTGAAATTCAACTGATCAAGTACTATCTTTTTAACAAATTGCATACTTTGATCACAAGAAATCCCTTTCCAGGCATCAATACAAGGATCAGAACTCATATTCCAACCCCAGTTTTCTTCTGGATTATTTCCAGGAGCAAGTTTTTGCATGAACTGGACTAGTGCTTCTCTCACTTGTACTGTTTCTGCATTTGTCACAGATAAGAGAACGATAAACTCCATAAAGACTACCCACAAATGAATTCGATCCATCGTGTTAATGATCTGAAATCCAAGAAAATGGTGACTTAAAATGCTCAAAAATGCTGTCTAATTAATGCCAATTGCCTGGAAGGTTACTTTTCAGTGATGGATAATGAGAAATGATTATGAGTGCTAACAAAACTCAAAAGACTAACAGAAAAGACACTGATAAATATGAATAAATTTGTTTGAAGCCGGCAGGTGGATTCTGCTCAATCAACAGTGTAGTGAAGGTGCGAATAGTATTATACAAAAAAAAGGTTTAATAAGAATTGGTCAATAGTGGAGTTTATCTCAATGCATTCCATATGGATCGATTTGGCACATTTGAACTTGTTGAATTTTGTATCAACAACTGAGTCAATTGAGTAGATACTATCAGAGAATTTTCAGAGGTTCTTCCATTGTTAATAGATGATAGTTACTTAATGCACCAATTCATTTTTTATCTAATCAAAGGTTTGACAAGTACACTATTTCCATCTTTAAACGGAATCAATGTATTTATTTATAGTTTGTCTTCATGAAAGTTAAATTGTAATCAAAATCCCTACATTTCTACATGCCCTCCGTTTGGCAACCAATTTATAAATTCAATCAAAATCGAACATGAATTTCTTGTAGTTTCTATTGATAAATTTGTCAAACATGGAGCATTTGAAGATCGAATCGTCGTGAGAATCTTGTATCTTATCTTAAAACATGAAAAACAACCAAATTACTCGGAATTTATTAAAACTAGATCGAAACGGACAATCAAATATATCATTAACTTATTAGATGAATATAGTGACCTCAAATAATCAAAATGCACACATAGATAAACAAATGTCACATCATCTAATTTCCACTGTTATATTTTTCCCCAATTTCACTATCTAACACTTCAATATTTGGTCTCTGAGTTGTGCATCATCACTAACAAACAAGTGTAACGTCCAAAAATGAAGTATTAAAATATGAGGATATGTAGGTTGAATTTGGAGCACCAATTAGACAGTAAAAAGAATTTAGTAAAAAATTAAAACAGATACTACTAGGCGCATGACGTGGTGGATTACGGATATAGGTTGTAAGGTAAATGGTATTCTTTAATTTTTTTTACTCAAAAGGATGCCATTCACACTACCAACGAGGGGTGAAAATGAATTTAGACGAGTGAAAATAACGTACTTTTGAAAACGAGGTAATATCATCCACCTAATTCATCAAAATATTATCTACTTAATATAATTTTATTTAATTTTATGCTAGAATCTGTATGTGATCCAATCCAAAATGCCAAACACGCCCTATGTACTTGAAACATCGAAAAATTAATAACCGGATCCCATATTAGATATCTATAAGCACGAGATAAATGGTCAATCAACTTTGCAAAAAAGTTTCAAGAAATCACTAAACTTTAAAATCACTCAAATCATCACTAAACTTTGCAAAAAAATTTCATGAGATTACTGAACTTTAAAAATCACCTCGTTCATCACCAAACTTTACAAAAAGTTTCTACAAAATCACTAAACTTTACAAAAAACTTCCTAGAAGATCACTGAATTATGACCCTTAAAAAACCTTTTTTCAAAGTTTAGTGATGAATTAAGTAATTTTTAAAGTTCGGTGACCTCGTGAAAACTTTTTGCAAAATTTAGCAATGATTTAGATAATTTTTAAAGTTCAATAATCTCGTGAAAATCTTTTGCAAAGTTCAATGACCATTTGGATTATTATATCCTATCTTAACTATGTTTCATAGTATGCCAATTTCTGTTCAATTGTGCTCATGCAAGTGCACAATGAACATCACAAACACTAGGTTAAAACTAAATTTAAAATTTAACCGTAAAGAAAGTAGTGTCCACCAGGCACAACCCAGTCAGAAATTATTACAACATTTGGGTCACAACAAGCTAGAAGCACATGCATCAAGGGAAAGAACAATAACATATAGCATTAAGAAGACATGTGAGACCAGTTACATTCATTAATTCCCCAATTTATAGGGGGATACCAAAACAAAATCCATTTCATTACCTACCATGTTAATACCTGTTCAAAATTCTTAAAATACATAATATTTTCCACCTCAAGTTTTTCTTTGTAACAGGAACTCCCAAAGCCTGTTAACTAACCTAAGTTACTAGCCGAGACACCTCCTTGATTCTATGCGGCCAATTTGCTTCATAGCCTAGTAGTTATAATAATGGCCTCATAAGGAAGGCAATTAGGATATCTAAATATGAAGAGATGATCTCCGATCAAGTAACAAAGAAAATCATCCATGATGATCTGATATCAGGTCTTGAGATCATCTGACATGGCAGACGGTATACAGTGGGTGGCAAGGATGTCCAAAGTTGCCGCTTTCGCCGTCTTTGTTTGAAGGACAACGATCTGCCAAAAAAAAAAAAGAAGTGTTAAAACACACAATTGGCAAGAACTAATACACGAGTATGAATCAAAAAAGAACGCCCACCTGCTGGTATTCTAAATCGAATTTCAGATATTCGTCGTTGCAGCTCTCTACCATGCTGGCCAAGCTCTTCAGATTCTTCACCGGATGACCATTGAAAGCATGAACCTAAATAAGCCCAAACAACAGAAGAAGAGATACAAACAGGATGGTAGAAGAAAAAAGCATAATCTGGTGATAATTAATTTTGAAATTCAGTTAGTGATACCACAAGCAGTTGCATGAAATCACTAACCTGAGTGTTGACAATGTCCTCGTATCCTATATTTATGTCAGCCACGAGTACCTTTGAAATTTTTCAAAATGAAAACAAAGAGTGAGACAAATTGGCGGGAGTTTTATCCCAGGAAATATTGGTTGAGAATGAAGGCAAGGAAGAACCTGGGAAACTACAACAATCTGTTCCTCTGGAGATTGTGGCAATTCATGCACAAGTTTGTTTAACAGTTTGACAGGAGCTTCAAACTCGTAATCCTTTCCATACTGGAATTTTTTGTACAAGAAAGGCATAAGAACGAAAATATGAATCAAAGTAAATAGCGCAAGTTTTTAGTAACATTCTAGCCTTTCGTGTCTATTAAAACAAAATTGCAACCCATGTATAACTGAAATATCCAAACCCTCATAAGTAATAATGATAATACTATTAGATACAGAAAGCTAAAGAAACTTGTAAAATACATGAACATAAGGAAAATTTTGAACTCGTACTAAAAACATGAAATCATAGCATCCTAGCACGTTCGCATGATTTCTGCAATTCGTATCATAAGCAAGTGGGTTCGGGAGCAAAAGAGAAATAGCCTAAAAACTGAGGATGGAAGATGTCTATCTAGAAATTGGCACGCATTGCCGCCCAGTAGGGGCTAGAAGTCAAAGCAAACAACTCCCTAGAACAAAAGAAAAATGCAATATATTATTAGAGGAAGAGTTTAGCATATCATAATGCAAACACTCTTTGGAAATATGCATCCAAAGTCCCTAGTCTCAACAAAAATGTGCAATTTAGCCAACTCAATATCCGGGAGCAAAAGAGAAATAGCCTAAAAACTGAGGATGGAAGATGTCTATCTAGAAATTGGCACGCATTGCCGCCCAGTAGGGGCCAGAAGTCAAAGCAAACAACTCCCTAGAACAAAAGAAAAATGCAATATATGATTAGAGGAAGAGTTTAGCATATCATAATGCAAACACTCTTTGGAAATATGCATCCAAAGTCCCTAGTCTCAACAAAAATGTGCAATTTAGCCAACTCAATATTTCTCAGCAAAAAGATCCCCAGCCTTCAATTCTTTTGGCAAGTGGTCCCCCAAAAAGAGTTCCTCGCATTCCATTTATAGGCCTGAGATACAGAATTTGTAGGTAGCATGCCTGATCAACATGTGACTAGTTCACCATATGATAAGCAGAGTGAATTAGCAAAATGACAGCTCATTAAAGTCACATAGAATGAATTGTTCTAAAATGTGAAATTTCTCATACTTTTAAGTAATCAAAACCTACCAACACAGCGATCCGTAATCAAAACGAATTTAACATTCCCTCTCCGCACTTTTTCCATCTGTTCCCTCTCAGAACTAATTTTGTAGTCCATATACATTTTCTTAAACTCGACACAATGGAAACATAAAAACTCATTGTAGGCTTAAAATATGATATATTTACTTATCATGGATTGACGTCTGTCCTTAAAAGAAAGAATAGATGAATTTGTCGCATTCAACACATACATGTACACACATAAATAAATATGCAGCTAATACACACGTTTTGTCCTTGTGTATGCAATTTCCAATTTTAACTAGATCATGTAGTATTATTTTAAGTTCCATTCTTTTGACGGTCCCCAATTTTTGTGACACCACAATGTACTGAAGGATCCTTCAGAAATTAAAGTATCTCACTCTAGCTCCCACCCCATGTTCTGGTACCCTAGGGGCTTGGGCCATCGTGTAAGTTTTTTATCTCTATTTTTCATGCATGCTGAAATGAAAGTCACATTGTTAATTGTTAATTGGAGCATACATGGTACCAACCTGAGAGAAGGGGAGCATGCAGACTGGTCTATTATTCCTAACATCAAAATTACTTGGGATGCCTTAACCCTACCAAATATGGCTGTTCAGGAAAATATGATATTCTAGTATCAGAAGGCTAAATTTAGCAATCTTATATCTTCTTTGTTTTTTATTTTCAGTCCTCTTATCGCTTCCCTAACTCTAACACACATAAGGAAAGAGAGTTGAAATGAAAAAGTAAATCATACAAATAAAAACTTCAGTTTCTACACAAACATTCATCACCGCTTTTTTCTTAACCAGTAATTTCAATTAGCAAAAAAAATAGTCATTAAATAGCATCTCACATCATCATTTGAAGTTACTAAAATTAATCATCAATGTAATTCAAAGAAGTTGATCCGCAGCATATCAAATTGTGTGCTATGCGATGAATTGTGTTACAGAACTCTTTCCAGTTTCCAACTAACCTAAGCGACTGATGGACTAGGACCTAGGTAATGTCACCTAACATGAGTGATCTGGAGGGAGTAGAGCATTAACAACTTAAAAGGTCAAATTCTCCTTATGTAGAGATACCTTTATTACATAAACCTGGTTACATAAATACTTTTTGAAGATTTAAGATATGGTACAGATGCTGTCTAAATGGGATTCTGTTTGCGGTCCAGTATATAAGAGGTTTCCAGCTGTTCAGTTCATTAATAAAACAGATAAAAGCAACAGAACGGGTTTCATATTCTAAGCACCACCAATCAAGCACATTTATTTGCTACAAACTTTAGTATGAAGCTAAAAAGGTGAAACTCACACTAGTTACAGCAATTACCAAGAATACCATAATGCATTAACATCTGAAGCAAACTGCTCACCTCAGAACGGAGATATGGAACAGAAACACTCGTAAAAACAAATCCAGCAACGATATAATATGAGGGAGGTCTACCCTTGTTGTGAGCTGGAATGAGCCTCCGATGAGAACCAAGTTCGATATTGAATTTCAAATTTTCAGAATTGCGAAGAACTTTTATTGCTGCACTATCTCCAGTATATTTCTGCGATACAAGATAGCTGAAACCTATGCGCTCTCCATGCCTAAATGGAACTGTAAAAAAAGACCAAATAAAGTTACAGTGTTACTACAGTAGAAGACGGTTTCCAAACATAAGATAAGTAATCTCCATATATAGCATGGAAGAGACATTAGAGCAGCATTTGCAGTAGTAAAATCCCAAGGCAAGCAGTCTGCTGATACATACATGAGAAAAACAAACCTCCACATGCCAAATTCAAGTTGACATATATTTCAGAAAAGAAACAATAGCATATCTACCTTGGAGTATCTAATGTATTCATACGTTTAATGATGCTTAACTAAATGGTTTGCCAGTCCTAAATTAATCAAAAAGAAAAAAAGAAACTCAGGTTTCTCATATCTAGACTACTCTGATAGTTAAACACCAGAGAAGACTCAAATCAAAACCTTAAAAATTATATCAACAGAACAATAGCACTCAGTTATTCTATGTCTCTATTGATATACTTAAATCAGACTTGATAAAAATTCCTCTATCATTTTTTCATCATGATTGTGAGGTTTTTCTTTCTTAACAAGTAATAAACGAAAATAAGCATTGTGTTATTTGCAACAACTAAAATTACCTATTCATGAGATGCGAGAAAAAAAAGGCTCAAGTTACGCATTAAAATAGCAGAAAATAAAGAAGTGGAGGGAGGCAATGAGATGGGATGGGATGGGATGGTATGGGATGGAAGAATTATATCTATCCATCTACATACCATCAGAACATTTATCTCGATCACCTGTTCCGTCATTGGCAATATCAACCCCATCAAAGCTAAGGATGACATCAGATGGCTTCAAAATTTTGAATTCTGGAGCAGTGGGATTGATTCTTCTTATACGAACACCCTTCTGATCAGGTTTCATCCCAATCAACAACCGCAAGTCCGGATTTTCCATCTTCTGCCACTCAACTCCTAGAATAGGGAATCCTGGTACATGAAAGAGAAATATTGCAATTAAATAACATAGGACTCAACGGAAACTTATTAACTGGGGAAAGACTTGTCCAAAAAGGGCAAAATAGAAACTGATATCTGGATAAACAATGTCATTTTCTTGAAGTAAGACACGAAACCAAAGTCATGAATAGTAAATACACAAATCCATCTGAGTATAAGAGGCATAGATACTTAAAAGAACTTGAGAAGCTGTAGACCGTCCACATCAAATTACTTTAACTATTAATCCAATATAAATCATGTTAAGAGTAACCTTTCCATTTGTTAGGAAGTTATTTCTATATTTATGTCCATGTTTAGCACAATTAGTGTATCCTTAAATACCCAGCACAAGGATTAAAATATGATTCTGGTCTATATAAGGTATTGAAGATGAGCACTCACTGGTGTGGAAAATGGCAGAATAAGAGGGTGTTTGGGAGACTTTTTATGTAAAAATGCATTTTTGAATAGTAAATTAATGGGAAATGTGTGGTTGATTATTTTAATAAAGAATGTGTGGTTGAAAAAAAGAGAGAGAAAAATGCATTTTGAAAAAAATGGGTACCAAATGGGACCTAAATACATAAATAAAATCTGTATTAAAAATAGCATATAAAATCCCTCCCTCAGACCCTCACTCTTTCCCTTTCTCCCTGCCCCTCCTTACCGGTTAACAAAAAGCTCCTGAAATAATACCGGACTAGCTGGTCATCTTTAAGCCAAAGGCTGGCTAGAACCTGCATTTCAGTCAGTACAGATTCTAATAGATCCACGCTTTAATCAACTTAGCAGGATCATTTTTCATCAGAATGAACTCGTTAATATTTCCACAAAAAATAGTGCGCTAGCTCAGAATCTACATTCAATGGTGCAAAAAAAGGTGTACATGATGATCAATTTGCAGCTAATGGAGCCAGTTTGCCTGTACACAGTCTCCATTAGAATACGCAGGTATGGAGTACAGTCTTTTTTGAAAGATACATGTATGCTATAGTACACAATCAGTCAATTAGAAGAGATCCACAGACGTCATAGCATTCAATTACATCAATCAAAGGAAAGTTGCACAAGTGTTAATTAGAAAGCAAAAAGACTAGTCTCTATTTGATTGGATATTCTGCTAGGTATGTATGCTTCAGATATCTTGAATGAAAAGTCAAAATGTTATCTGTACGATGACTTCTAGGATTTTCTCTCTGAATTCTTGGAATTCTGCTATTGACCTCTAATGTCCACTTGACTTATTTTCATATCAGTATATAAATCCCCCACAGTGGAGAAAAGGTTGAACGCCAAAGACAATACCAGTATATGCTCCATTTTTTTCATAATCTTGGATGAAGTGCCTGATGACTGGTGTTGGGATGACATAACCAATATTCTCTGCATCGTCATGTTTAAGGGATTGAAATGCAATACCGACACAATTTCCCTTGTCATTAAAAGCAGGTCCTCCCGAATTTCCAGAGTTTATAGCGGCATCTATCTGTAACAATAATCAATTTTCACAAGATATTAGTAAATAGTTTGTAAGCTACAAATTAACATCGTCAACGTATAAATGAAAGACCTGTAATCCTAGAAGTTCGGTGGACCCATGGACGTATGAAAGAATCTCTATGCGTGAAACTACCCCACTTGTCACAGATATTGTATCACCCCCGATTGGGTAACCCACAACAGTCACTGCATCTTGCAATGCAGGCAGATCGCCAAATTCTAGAGGAGACACCCCTTCCCAGAACTCATCATCGTCTACTGCAAGCATAGCTGCAGTCTCGTATAAACCAAAATCAACATTTTAAATTAAACATCATATAAATACTCATCATCTATCATTCTATTATAACAGAAGCTGCAATAATATATGAACCAAGTTGACATTGGATAATAAATACTCTAAAGGTTTTCTTAGAAAATGCACTATATAATTAGTGGTCATTTTTTTGGATAGCTACCCTCTATAACAAATGCAGGGGACAGTTTGGTGCAACAATCACCACCAAGATATATGAAGTCATATAGTGCCACTAGCAGCAATCTTTTTACTTCAAGCTCTGTATCAACAATCTTTCAGTGCTTTTTATTCTGATCCCCTCCTCTCACAGGTACCATCAGACTGCCAACACTTCCTTTCTTCATGTTCTTCTCAGTATAGTAAAAGGGAGTGAGGTAAAGGTTTTAACTTTCTATCAGGGGGAATTGTTTTATTTCACATTGTACACTTAGTTTAATGCGGTGGCTACTAGGCATATAGATGAGCTGTCCAATTTTATGTCGTTTCTTTCGGATTTATATTTATAATACACTTCCTGTGTATTATGATTTGATTACTAAAATACTGGATTACCTCTCAAAAATAAAAATAAAATAAAAAATCAGGGGGAATCAAACCAAGCTAAAATCAACAACCTGATCCACCGGCATAATAGACATGTATGAGACATATTACCGGCGACTTAAGGGAATAACTCACCATTATATGGATGCTACAATATAATTCCAGACATTGCCTTCCCATAATCTCCAAAGATTGTTCAATGACTGATATTATACTTCGATTGGCCCAGATATCAAAATCAATTTTCAGAAATTGCAAAGTCATCAAAATGGAAACACGTCTTAATAGAAATTTTAAAAACATAAATAACCAAGAGGACAGCATTGATTTAAAGTAAGAAAAAGCGGTTGCTTCCACTCTTGATTAGCCATGAATGAATTACTGTCAAAACTCAAAACATTTCTAGCTGTGCATTGTCATCCATAACCGTAGTTCATTTGATAGAATAACATGCAATCATTTCGTTTTAGTAAAATAATATAAAGGACAATATTCAATGTTAACCTCACCGATATCACATTCAGTGCCAATGGCGAGAACCGTGGCAACATACTTTGTATCGGAACCTCTTTTCTTCAACTTGACTTGAGTGTAATGCTCCACGGAGTGTGCATTCGTCAAAACCCTCCGACCTTTAATAACAAACCCGCTACTGCTCGAGCTGTACTGCCTTTTCCTCTGCCACGGCAAAGAAAAATTCGGCTCTGTATGAACGCAAAACACCTTCACCACCGCGTCCATCGAGGGGACCACCCTCGCCACCGCGTTCTCTGCAGTAATCGATGCAATGGCAGCACATCCATTAGCGATAGGAGGAACCGGAACGGGTAAGGTTTTCGAGCTGTCGATTTTGGGAGTCTTGCGGGGGCGGCCACGGCGACGATGGGGTGTGGAGGAAGGAGGAGAAGTGGGGTCAATGAGCTCAACGTTGTTGACGGAAAAGACAACGTCATCGGCTGCTAAGGTGGGCGAGGAGGTGGTGTCGCTTAGGACAGTGGTCACCGGCGATCGGTTTTTGGGCCGGCGGCCGCGCTTCCGCTTATTCTTGGTTACGCTGCACATACTTGAATTGGAATTGAGAAATGCGGATTTTGGTCCCAATTTGAAGAGAAAAATGGACTTTAATAGAGGGAAAGGCTCGGGTCAAAACTCGGTAAAAAAAGTCGGGTTCCCTCATTGTTCTCGACTTCAAAATTACACACAAATCTACTTCTAGTAGTCATTGTCAACTGCGTTCAACGAATTTTATATTTATAGTATTTTTTTTAGTGTATAAATTTTAGTTTTTTGGAATATTTTTGAAGCAATATTTAAAAATATTTTCATGGTATAAAAAAATAATTACAAATTATTTTTACAATAGCATAACAGTATTATGTCATCTAGAAAAAATATACTTATATATTTCATACCTGAATAAGAAATATACGAGATTATACAAATTATTTTGCTTATATTCTTTGATAGTGTCGATATGATTGAGTTGAATATAAAGATTATATTTCTAAATTTTGTGTAATTCAATATTAGAAAATTGAAGATTTAGCATCATATTTATATGCGTTTATATTTTGTACTTCATATATATTTAATATTTATTTTATGCTTATGTTAAAAAAATAAAAATCTGAAAATTTTCTTGAAATTCGGTTTGGCAAGTGAATGTACGATACTCTGCATTCTTGGTATTTGTAAATGCAAAAATCGATATATAAAAAAACAGTAAGCTGCAAATACGGTAGACAGTATATACGGTAAGTTACAAATACGATAGGTATGTTAAAAAAATAAAAATCTGAAAATTTTCTTGAAATTCGGTTTGGCAAGTGAATGTACGGTACTCTGCATTCTTGGTATTTGTAAATGCAAAAATCGATATATAAAAAAACAGTAAGCTGCAAATACGGTAGACAGTATATACGGTAAGTTACAAATACGATAGGCAGCATATACGGTAAGCTGAAAATATGGTAAAATGTTTGCAAATATGGTAGACAACATATACGGTAAGCTGCAAATACGGTAAGTTATTTGCAAATACAGTAGACTGCAAATACGGTAAATTACAAATACGGTAGGCAGCATAGATAAACTGCCTACAAATATGGTAAACTGCATATATGGATTTATAATTTATTATAAATGTATAAAATTTATTTAATATTAAATTTCTTAAGTATTAAATGTTGTGATTCAATATTGTTTCTTTTTTTTTAATTCTCATTTTTTTATAATTGTATTTCTGAGAATTAAAAAAAATGGTTATGAAAATTGCTAATTTTTAAATGTGTTTTTTTGTTGAAGATAAAAATAATTTTTTTATGTTATTTGTAAAAAAAAAAATTATTGTAATTTTATTAGCGTAATAAGAAGATTTATCATGCATTTTTATTTTTTACATTTTGTAAAAATATTTGTTTATAGTGATTGACAAATATTCTTCCACACACGCATCATACCATCAATATAAAAATAATAATAATAATTTTAGTATATATAAACTCCATGAAACATATAATAAAAAAATAAAAAAAACTCTTCACACGTGAGCAAAAAAAAAAAAAAGACTCCGCAAAATTCAGAGAGATGGCAAACTATCTCTCTGCACAATGTGAAGAAAAAAATAAAAACTCTTCGCACAATGCAGAGAGATGGCACTTTCTCCACACAATGCGAACAGAAAAATCAAACTCTCCACACAATGCGAAAAGAAATACATGGCACTCTCTCCACACAGTGTGGAGAGAAAAACCAAACTCTCCGCACAGTGCGGACTTTTTTTTTCTATTCTCGAAAATAAATTATATAAAAAGAAAATAATATTGAATTAGTACTTAAAAAATTCAATATTAAATAAATTTTATACATTTATAACAAATTATAAATCGACGTATATGTAATATACCGAATTTTGCCATTGTCATCTTGCTTACTCTTATGCTACAGATCACAATTATGCTGACTTTTTGTCCTTTAGAGCATCCATGATTTCCTAAGACCCTTCAATGTGTTTTTTTTTTTTTATTAAACTTTAACAAATCAACAGCAAAAGAAAAAAGAATTATTTCCCAGTAAATGATCAATTCTATGTGCAAAATTATATGAACTATATGGGATTGAAAAGAAATATGGTTGATAGGATTGAAAGTTCCCCTTTCTGATAGATGCAATGATTTGTCATTAAGTTTGTTGATTTTAACTGGGTGGGTGTTTTGTGTATTATTTTGGCACGTAATTAAACAATAAAGCTAACTTCTGTGTATGGAACTATTTTGTTACCTTAATATGCAATCTTTCGTGAATCTTTGAATATTAGACTATATTTCATCAATTATACTCTTTCTTTTCTTTTACTATTTTTCTTGCAAGCAAGTTGATTCAGGGCTCGAATCCATAGTTTCATAACAAATATATAGTTTATATAGGTTCATTTGAAAAATGAAATAATAAAATAAAATTGCAGAGCTCTCTCTAGTCTCTACAAACAAGAATGTGGTTTGAGTAATCAATCAAAATATCCATAATTAAAAGTTGAGTACGAATGTAGTTTGAGTAATCAATTCTCTCCGCATAGTGCGGAGAATTTTTCCATAGTGCGGAGAGTTTGTAAACTCTCGGCAATAGTTTGCCATCTCTTCGCTTTGTGTGAAGAGTTTTTTTTTTTTTTACTCCGCACATGGTTTACCATCTCTTTGTACTGTTTAGAGATTTTTTTTTTTTTACTCCGCACATGGTTTGTCATCTTTCTGCACCGTGCGAAGAATTTTTTTTAATGCTCTTGTGTGGAGAGTTTTTTTTCCTTATGACATTTATATATACTAAAATTATTATTATTTTTTTAATGCTAATGACATGATGCGTGGAAGAATACTTGTCTGACCTTAAACAAAATGAAAAATAAAAAAATGACATCATGCACAGTAAAATTGGATTAATTTAATGTTGCATCATCAGTAGACCCTCATTCCCCTTTTTATAAGAAGTTAGATATGTATTGGAATAGGATTTTTTTTTTATTTATTTTTTATTTAGAATGTGTGATTAAAATGTAAGGAAAAATTAATTTTGAATTTATGTACAAAATATTTTATTGTGTGATAAAAAAGACTGTAAAGTTGTTTGACCCCATATTTTTGAAAATTAATTTTTTTCAAAATTTATTTTCCACTACACATTTTCTAGTAAAATAATATTACAGGTAAAAAAATTTCTTAGTTTTTAACCATACATTCTCTAAAAATCATTATTCAATAATACATTTTTCTCTCAGAATGGGAGCTCAAGCAAGGGATATGTTAAAAAAAAATAGTTTTGAAGTAATAATCATCAACAATGACTTAATTTTTCATTTCAATAATAAGATACAAATAATTTTCTTTTCAAAAATCAAATGAACCACCCCACTCTTTATCCCACAACACCACACCCTCACCCACGCACCCTCACTCGCTCCTTCTATCTTGCTGTCTCTTTATTTTCTTTGTCACTCGACTCTCTACCATCTTTTTATCTTGCTCCATCTCTATGTTCTCTCCATCAATTCTGCCCACCGTTAAAGAAAACCAATCACCGCATTTTCCTCTCTCAACCAGTAGTGGATCGGCCTTGCACAAAAGACATGAAAAAGGGTGATTACGTTCTTATGACAAAACTTACGTGAAATCTTGGAAGTAATATACCATTATCACATTTTATTTCAAATATTTTAGTACAAGGAATTTCAAGATAAGTTTCTTATCTTTAGAGTTTCAAATTTCCGAGATCCAGCGTCCCAAGACAACAGGGTAAATGAAATATTATTTTCGCGTGCTTTGAAATGAGGAACAATTGTTTTTTCGAAGTTATATAAAAAAAATAATTCTTATTTAAGTACGTGATGGGCAAATAAGTAATCGGAGATAGAATATGTTAGTTAATGAGATGTTGAGGATAAGAATGAGATTAAAAAAAGTTGAGGATAGAAAAGTGAAAATAAGCAAATGTTAAAAAACTTCGTTGTAGTTTAAGTGCGGTGCATAATAATAATAATAATAAGATTGCGCAGGGAACTACATTAGTCACTATTTGGTATAGCTTTTGTATTTTTTTTTAAAGGCTTATTTTCTACTATAAATTTTCTAATAAAATAACTTTATACGTGGAATCATAATTTTTCGAATATATATATTTATATATATATATATATTCAAAAACTTTTAATTAAATCCAATCATAAAAACTTAAATCTGTAGAAGACTCAAAATAATCTTCCTAATATTTTTCTTTTTGTTTTGAAGAAAAACTTTCTCTAAAAAGTTTTCTAAAGTTTTTGACACAAATATCTTGATCATACTTGAATTCTTTTCTTCTATCTATTTCAGAAGAAATAACATTACATTGATGATCAAGATTTTGATTTGAAGGAGGAACCATATCAGAAAAAGTAGGAGATTCTGGTTGTTCAGTTTCTTCTTCTTTTTCTTTAGGTTGATAAAAAGGATTTGGAATATTAGGAGTAAAATCGACTCCTTTGAAAGATGAAGTAGAATTTTTGAAGTTTGAAAATAATTTCTTGGTTTTTCTTCAGATCTAGAAGATCTTGATGAAAATGATCTTTGAATTCTAGAAGAAGATCCTTTGAAGATAACTTTAGCTTTTCCATCAGAAAAATTTAAAATCTCATTTGGAATAGTATGAGTTTGAGCAGGAATGGGAGCTTGAATATTTTCAAAATTCCATTCAAGTCCTCTGGATTAAAGATTCCAAGGAATTCGTTTAGGAATTTCAACATTTGAGTGAAAAGGATTGACTTCTACCAAAAGACTTTCTTCTCTTGGTGAAGAATGAAGAGTACCAATATTGAGTTGAGTATTCATAAGCTTGTAATATGTTCTATATATTACAGTAAAAGCATTTGATCGACTATCAAACTCAAGGTTTTTAGTCTGAATATGAAGATTGAGAGAATTTTAAATTGCTCCATCTATCAATTTTATTGAAGATTTTGGATAACAATTTGAAAATACTGGACCACTTTCAAGATTTGATTCAAGAGGTGAAAGTAATGAGTTTTCAAATTTGAAATGTCTCTTATCTCTAAGAGTAATTAAAATTGGGATGTCTAAATCAAGTCTAAACAAAGGTTTGACGGCAATTTGAACTAATC